TTGATTCTTTAGATAAAAGACTTGGAATGAGTTTGAATGATAGGGATTCTGATGAGTGGCTTCGTGTTTGCTCTCGTAAAACAAAACGTAAACACAAGGCTACACGATCAGTGAAACGTCCTGCTATTCAGAAACCTAATGTTCCTTTAGATTACATGGATGATGACAGCCTGGAGACGGTTTTAGGGAGATTTGATGGTATCCGGTCTAGTTTACTACTTTCGAAGCCAGACAGAACTTTCCTGGAAGGTTTATTAAAGTCCATCAATCAGGCGTTCACAATTATATCAAATAAACAGACTGAGCCAAGTAGGATTGATGTGATTTGTTTAGGATTAGGTAACCCGGCTGTCCATCATGCCAGTTTACGTCAGTTAGTTGTACTAGATCTTCTGTTACAGTTTGATCCACGTATGGAGCGATCACGTACTCACCTGTATGATCCTGTTTTCAAATCTGTTGCTCGTGCTTTAATAAGAAAGCTTGGAATGCATGTGAGTATATTTTAATGTGATGTAAAAGTGTGCAGAGTTCATAGTAAACATTCTTCTAGATATAAGTACAAATATTTCAAATTAAGTCACGTGTAATGAACGTAGAACCCAACACAGATGTGCGTTAGCCCAGAATATATCACATTAGCAAGATGAGACAAAAGTAACAAGATGAACAGTAAAGAAGCCTCAGTAATATAGCAGCTATAATAATGGGTCAGATTAGGGATTGAGAATATGGTTCCTTAAGATAGGAAAGGTGCGATTGAATACCGGAGTCCAGGACCTACGGTTAGGTAAAGAATAAATTTACCTGTGCCGTTGTGGCAATCTCTGAGACATATAACATGACGTATCTAACCACTGATATATTCTATCACTTGGATTCCGACCAACATATCTCAAACTTAACCAATGACTTGGTGGACTGATGCAACGTCTTAGTTTGGCATTGTGTAGTGAATTCTTGGATGCAAGCAGAGCCATTCAAATTATATTCATACCATACTAAGGTATATGGTGTAAGGTCTGAAACGTTTTTGGGAAATCTTCAAACTAGCGAAATATAGCTGACTGAAAGATATATCTTAACAACTCCAGCAGCTTGTTTTAAAATTATAGTTAGTGAACTGATCTAGGACGGAGCTCGTGTCACTCTTTAATGTCTCGTGCAGTATCTTGTGAAGCATCTTCAGTTTACCATATTAATCTGTTTGTTTTGTTTTTCTTTACGAATGTTGGTATTTTGTGACAACATCCGTCACAGGTCCTTACCTTATCTCTGTTTTTTTTAGTTGACTTAACTGTCTGAGAATATCAGTGATTAAGTATCTTTAGAATCCTTGGAAATTGTACTCACTGTTGATCCTTTTCATTATTCAATGGTTTACTACTAAGACGAAGTCAGTCTGAATCTAACCTGGTTTTCAAAAGTTAGGCACCTAAACCTTAGCCAAATATCTGTATAATTTAATTTGCATTAAGTTTATTGACACCATTACTGATTAGAATAGAAAGTTGGCCAAACCGTTCTGTTAGCCATTCTTATGTATTTATCGTGTGCATGTACTAGATACTTAATGGTTAGTAAAATGATAATTAAATGATAAAGTAAGGTCTATCTAACCAATAATAATAAAGTTAGCTTACTGTACATCAGTGAATAACCATACAATGACGAATGTCAGTCATACTTGCCATTTTGTTCAGTTTACTCAAATGTATGACACGAACAAATAGCAAAAAATGCCACATACACATTCGTGGAATGAATCGAGAATATATGGTTGCTATATCTGTCATTGAGAATTTCGTTTAAATCTTTTGATCTGATTTTTTCTATCTAGATTCTACCGAACAATAAAGAAGGTTGTTATAAGTTATCACCTGATCGATTTTACTTCGTTATGCTACCACACTGCGCTCCAGCTCTTCTAAACAATTTACTGTTTACTAATTGGTCGCCTAGTATACTTTCCCGTTTGGTACTGTTCTCTAATGGATGGAAAGAGGCTCGCCAGGAGTTAATTGCTTCAGGTGCTTCAGATGGTCTGAAGATTGCTAAGGAACTAGCTTATATTACTGCTTTGGAGTCAGTGGTTCACAGTCCTGGCAAAGAACATTATCTTCTTTGGTCTTCAAGAAATAAACTCAGGGAATACAGAGATTTTGAGGGTATGCGTGTGCAATGTTTTTCTCCTGTTGAAATGGATAGTTTACCAAAGAATGTATGGAATATACCTCCTTATTCTGAAAAAACAGATAAAGAAATATCCTGTTCTAGTAAATTAACACAAAATAGTGGGATTTTTTCCGATATAATTGATGCTAATGTTGTACCAAATTTTATCGATTCCAACACTGATGGCTAAGGATTTGTTCAAATTTTCCAAAATTAGTAATGGTATTATCTTTCACCTTTTTCCTAATGATCTTCAGACTCATGAAGTAAACCCATCCTTATTTGCTGTTTATTTATGTACATTGTGATTTTACACTGCATTCTCATAGTACGCTTAATTACTGTACATATTTTAGTCTTTTTTGTAAATGGAATATTATTCTCCATACTGAGTGAATTTGAGTTTCAACTTTAATTACTAATTTGAGTGATTTTTTTCTTTTTGAGAGTTAAAATATACCTGTTTTGCCATTGCAAAAAAAGTGAGGACTAATTGCCTAAGAATATTCATTTTTTTGCAAGACCAATTAGTAAAGCTGTACATTCGTATTAACAGTTATTTGGCAGGTAAAGTTTTTATTTATTTTAACACAACGTTGGTAAAGAAGGTACCAAATATATATGCTCCATACAATATAAATGAGGTTGTGCATAGATAATGGAGGGTATGATAAGAAGAAGGGCAATAATGAACAGAAATGTGTGAAAGTGAAATAATAATGGGCGAAACAGTTCAGTTAGGAGAAATACAACCAGAAAGAATACTTTCAGTTAAAGAAGTTACATCCACTTTCATGATGAAAGTGGAAGAAAGTTTTCAGGATAGCCACTGGCTTCTATTCTGAGCTATGTCTTATAACATCTCAAGCTATTGTTATACCATCTCAAGGACCCCGACCAAGGAGTCGTGGTATAGTAGTTTATTATAAGATAGACAAAGACATTTTCCAAAAATTTCAAACATGCGAAAGAAGTTGAGCAGTAATTTAGAAGGTATCAGAAATTGTTGAGCGGGAATCATCTGTTGATGAGAAGAATTCGAGTTAATTATCCTCTTGACTATCCTCTTAACTATGTCAATGTAATTAGCTGAATATTACATATTGTATCTAAACGACCATAGGGTTTTTGAGCGTTCCTTCTGAGTTTATATCACTTCATTGAGATTAAATGATTTGCAGTTATTTTGAGAATTAGGGGAATTTCGGTTTGCTAATTTTCGTAATATTATTTACTTATCTGATAGTAACCGAAATTTATTTCCGCAAAATGAAAGTCTGATTAGTGTCCCATCACTGCCGTATCCTGCAGGTCAAGGTCCCACTGATATAACGCTACATTCGAAAATACCTGTGATGTCACACGCACTACTTTCTAGTCTAACAAGGTAACATAGGTAATTAAAGTTCTCGGTTTACATATCACGTCATAGAAATCATGTTGTGTCAGATACTCATCGTTTTAGGAAAAAATATCTTGAAATCTAGTTATTTAGGTATGTACACCATCTTTTTGTTAAACACTATTCACAGGAGCCTTAGTATAGGCTTGTATTCAAAATATTGAGCAATGCAAATTCGATTTCCTTTCGTTGATGTATATGCATCTTAATGGAAATAAAAACTCTTGAATGAAAGTGCGATCAAATGTACACGATAAAGCAGTTTTCGTGAGCAATACAGGAGACAAAGCGATGTGGAATTCAGTACAACATTCAGCATAATCACACGGATAAGACAGAAGAGATAAGAGAAATACTATAAGGCACTTAAGTCCTATAGCAACTCTAAACCATGTAATCTCGAAGGTCCTAATTAGACCCTACAATCTACATTATTTGGTTCCTGGATGGTGTTCGATGTCACTGTTGAGTCTGTCGACCTACTTTGTAGTGTAACCACTACGTTAGGTGGTTTGGTGTCGCATTGTACTTTGTTTTATGTTTAGTAGCCAGAAGCAGTCAACAAGAGTAAGTGGAATCAGTCTTCGTACTGATTGAAACTCATCATCGAGGTGTATTCCCGATCCTAAAGAAAGTGGTACTCTGCCAGTGCTGCAGTTAGAAGCCACCACAGCTATTCGCGGTACGAACTTCGTCAATGCAATTTTATTGTAGTCGAGAGTTATGGAATATGGTACTGAGTGGCTGGTTGTTGAGTCATCTCAGTACTAACTTGAGCTCAGTTATCGCCCTGGTACGGCTGAGAGTGGGGAGAGTCCGCTCTCCCTCTCGAAATGCTCTCAAATGGCCACGCGTATACAGCCTCTTTCAGGCTCGGGGTGTGGCCCCCTAAGAAAACCACCTGCTTCGGTTTGGGCACCCGGGCAGTATCACAGCTCTCACACATGTCGAATGAGATTTGTATGACGCGTATGTATTTGGTGCCCTCTTGTACCAATATCCATGTGTTAAAATAAAATAAATATATCAGTGATAATGGTCTCTAGGTTCTGTTTCTATTATTTCCAGAAGGATCGAGTTTTTTTAGTGTTGATGCACCTTAGCGATCAGCGACGATCATCATAAAACCTTATTTTAGGTCTGTTGTTTGATTACTTTTAACCACCCAACAACACAATCTAAAATAAAACTGTGGAGCAGTGTCTTGGTGCCTAATGCATTCAACTTTCAGTCACAATTCTCAGGTTCTAACCTCTATCTACTTCACCTTGAACGTCCGGTTACTAAAATTAGCGCTCACACTTAGAGTGTACCAATTACCTGATGAATAGGCTTGTTGGAAAAACGCTATTACTAACAAATTGATGTTTTCACTGATTACTCTGTATTAAGAGAAGAAAATTTCAATACTATATCGCTTTTTGTGCTTATGTATTTGTTTTTGTGAGTAGCACAATTACATACATGAAAACTAACTAAATTCTAGCTTGATTTCAATATAAAATTGAATTAGTGTGGGTTTATAATTGGAGTTAATAATAATGAGTTGGATAATAATGAGATGTATATGATAAGGATTTGACAACAGAACAGAACGTAAACTGGTTCTGAATGTCGGTTTAACAATGTTGGCTGTAAGTAGAATGAATCAATTGTTTAACTTGATTTGTACTTTAACGGATCGACAAAATGGTCGAATCAAGTATTTAACTGACATCATCGTAACTTCCAGTATCCAATAGTGTTTCCATTGTTTGTATTGATAGCTTTTGCATGATTTGATGCAATTGATAATTGAACCATTCCAATTTTTTGTTGATTATATTCAGTCTAAATTATAGAAAATAAATAACTGGCAAAAATTTAATTCCAATGACTTTTTAATTGGGATGTGCAATTGTCATTTAAACAATATTCACTTACATTTAAACCTGAATTGTTCTATTCCACTTAATAGTTTATACTATGAGTGTACAAACTTGAATTAGTTAGTGAATTAAGCTTCTGACTGTTGTTTGCCAGCATGTCAAGTTACCTTACTGTCACTAGTATGAATTCTTGGACAAGTAATGCATCAGATCCCAATGTTTATTAATCAGGTTTATTTAAGTGATATATTTACCCCGAAATAATCTAAATTTCATTAATTTTACCGCCCTGAATCAGTGCATCATGTGAAATATAGAAGCTAGCGCAAGTACACATCGATCCACGTCACTTTTCAAATGAGGATAGCAAGCGTAAGATAGTAAAATTATAACGGAATGGAATACACAAGTGTCGATTATATTAGAAAAAAAACAGTTTGGGAAGAGCGAATTAAATTGAGAAATGAGAATTCTAATTTAACAGTAAAACTTAATACTTAAAATAAGATAAGGAGATGATGAGTCTACATCACTTTGAGTGATTTTGATCTATATCATTTAGTGTTGCCTACCAAAGGGATACGTTCAGTGATCCTACACTTTCGAAAACGAATAGGACCAATAACTATAAACTGGTGGTACGCTTTGGTCTAGTCCTCTTTAGCCTTTTCACATTATCTCCCTATGCTAGAATTATCATCCTAAGTTTAAGCGAATAAAATATAGATGATGACCGTCTTGAAATATTAAAAGTATTCTAGAGGCATAAAAAACAAAACACTACTACGTACCGTTGATTTAAAAGTTCGACAGTTTTGTTTAGTTCTTGTCTAGAACGCTCATACTTTTAATAAATTAAAATAAAAAGTAGAATTATTTGGTTATCTGATTTATCGTAAAAAGATCTTTACTAATGGTAATATTAATACTAATAATATTAGGAAAGATAATCATTGTCTAGTTGATTTTACTTAAGTTAGTTTACTCTGAAGACACTTTCTGTCATGAAGTGATATAAGCTAAAAGGCCATTGAAAATCAAGCAGGACCGTTTGAACGTGTCATCCTAGCTTGGTATTTCTTCCTGGTATGCAGCCGCAATCCCGATAGGGATGTTTGGGTCGTATATTTGCAAGTACTTTAGTTCTAAATCCTCTCATGAATAGAAAACCAATTATATCGCCTCAAACTTGGATGATAAGTCCAAGAAGTTTGATATGAGAATTGGATAGAAAGAGGCGGGACTATTTATGAGACAGTCAGTATAAATACTTAGTGATATAAATGTTATTTTAAGGGCATTTATTCAGTTGAAAAGTGAATCAGTCAAGTGTCAGACTTGTTCGTTTCAAGCTGAGTTAGCACAAAAATTACTATGGTTGATTAGCAAATTACTGAATATATCCTTTAAAAAGTTTTACTAATTAAAATCTATTAAAACGAATATCTACTAGCTGGAAGTATCTTTGTTTAAAAAAAACTTCTTGAAAGAAACGAAAATTGAATTACTCTTGGTACATTTGGTCTAGCTGGTTTCAATAACCATTTTTGAACACAAATTTTAGCGTATAACCAACGTGGGAGATTCGCTTCTAAACTATCTAACCAGTAAACTTGTCGATAAATTAGTTCTTGTGTCGCACTTCTTCTAGCCTTGTCAATATCACCAACTGCTAAACCAATCTAACAAGTAAAATAAAGAGACATAAAAGAAACAAAAAAAAAACGATACAATAAGTAGATCATTAAAATAACTTTTTAATATTACTGTTGATTTATTAGTAGTATTGTTTAAAACAAGTATTAAACAAAGACTGATCTACTAGGTTCATCATGTTAAACTATGTAGAATTTAACACGTTTAGTCCTTCTAATAAGTCTAAAGGTTGCAGTGAGTAGATGAGATATGTCATGACTACAGAATACGTAGATTCCTTTTGAATAACTTGTCTGATGGTTGCTCGTAAACTTGTTAAGATGTTTGTGAAAGGCGAAACGGTAAGTTAAGCTGAGTGATCTAATAAATACTTACGTAGTGTTTATGAAAAGTTGGTATAATGAAGAATATGTGAGGATTTTAGTAATGTCTCAATTCTAATTATTAGTTTATGACTTAAAAAATCTGATTCCCATTAACCCTTAGTGGATCTTAATCAGCCTTTGGAATGTTTAGATTATGACTGTACAAATAATGAGGACAATGTTTAGCTTGACTTGTAAGTGCTTGTTAAACTGATATAGGCTTTATAAACAACTGGCTTTTAGACACAGCCTTTTAAACCATAGTTATCAGTAAAGAGAACGTTGACATTATTAGTAACATATCGAGATTATTACACTATATCGCCAATTGACAGTGTATGTAAACAATTGTATTCTCACTCAATGAACTAAAGTTATTGTACTCCTGGATGGTGTTAGAGATACTAGTTTCAATTTTGTGTCAAGTCAGTTGTATGAATTGCTGAGAAGTACTAAAGTAGAATGAAATCGTGGCCTAATGCTTAATGGTTGTCAAAATTTCTCCAGTTAATTTCAGTTTGTAATGAAAACTACTCTCATATGAATACTTATCATTTTAATTTTATATAGTTACTTACGCCTGTTACTCCTCGTGGAGGAGCATAGGCTACCCACCAGCACTCTCCATCCATCTCTGTACTGGGCAATCTTTTCCAGTTGTTCATAGTTGATATTCAGAATTTTCATCTATGCTTCCGATTCCCAATGCAGTGTGTTCTTCGGCCTTCCACTTTTCCGTTTCCCTTCACGATTCCAAGTTAGCACATGCCTCGTGATGCAGTTTGGTGATTTCCTCAATGTATGTCCTATCCAATTCCAACGTCTCTCCATAATTTCCTATTCGTCAAGAAGTTGGTTTGTTCTCTCACACAGTAGATTGTTGCTGATGGTATCCGGTGAACGGACATTCAGTATCTTGCGTAGCAAATCATTTATGAATACTTATACTTTTTTATTGATGATTGTAGTAGTTCTCCAAGTTTTATCTCTATACATTATGACTGTCACGACGTTTGTATTGAATATTCTGATTTTGATGTTGTTTGACAGCTGTCCAATGCTTCTTTAGCTTAAGTTTTATCATGGCAACCACCAGGTGGTGATCTGAAGCTATGTCAGCTTCTCTCCTGATTCTCATGTCTTCCATTGACCTTGTGAATCGTTTATTGATACAAATATGATCTATCTGGTGTGATCTGGTGAGACCCATGTAGCTGTGTGTGCGTTTGTGTGAGAATATTGTGCCACCTATAACCAAGTTGTTGAATGTACATAGGCTCCATCTGTGGTGTTTGAATGAACTAATGATTCCTTTGTACTTGTTGAATGCTTGATTTCGAATTCCAAATACAGCACATTCGTACGTGCTTATCTAGTACTTCTTGATCCGATTACGTTGTAGTGACTCACATTTATCACGAGAACACGACTGGTTTAATAAAAACAATTATTATTATAACCAACTGTACCAGTGTTTGTTTTAACGTGCATTTGTTTGACTGTGCTAATGACAGCTATTTTGTGCTTCCATTCTTATACTTACACTTTGACTGTAACTCCGCGCGAATTCGGTTACCTTCTGTAACCAAGGTTGTATCCTGGCACGATCTTGGTATCCTTTCGATGCCACGAGATCGCCAGCTAATAAACCTCGACTTGGTCCATTAATTGCCTTCTGATATTTAGCTTCTCGGGGATTTTATGGATCTATTTGGTTACGTCCAACCCTCGCCTTCTGATTTATTTGGCACGTGTTTCTTGGTAGCGGTGTTCATAGTTAACCTCAACTCGACGCCACGCTACAACGTTATTTCTGGGATTCTTAGTTCGTACTATATTTGAAATACTTCTAATCATCATAATATCCTCATTTTCGTTTTTCTCCGCCACTCAGTCCATTTCGTCCCGTAATATTCTCATATCCGGTGTTGTACATCCCAACTTTGGCGTTCAGATCTCCCATCAGGATGGCGAGATCTTTTCTTGAGCACTTTGCTGTGATTGATTCCAGCTTCTTATAGTTTATTTATCAATTTGAACATATAAATATTGGTACAAGGGGGCACCAAATATATATGCGCCACACAAAACAATGAGAATGGTAAGAGAAGAAAGGACAAGGTAAGGAGCGTAAAAGAAAAAAAGAAAAACAATAACGGCCAGATTAGTGTAAGGCAGTGTAATAATATTAATAATAATGATAGTAATGGTAATGATAATAATAATAACAAGAATGGGGGAAAAGGAAAGGTACAACCAGAAGAAACCTTTCAGTTAAGGGAGACACAACCACATTTTATGAAGAAAGTAAAAGAAGGTTACAGCAGGATCGCCACTGGCTCCTATTCTGAGCCATATCTGATAACGTCTCTAGCCACTGTGTAGCACCATCTCTCGGACCCCAACCGGGGAGTCGTGAGGGACCAACACAAGCCAGTCCTTTGCAGCTTTCTTTCACACCACGACACCATGTCATGCACTGACCACCTCTCTGCTTTTTCCAACCAGTCCCAGAGTCGGCAAATAATGCACGACGTGGAATTCTCTGGGACGACATTCATAGAACATGTCCAGGCCACCGAAGTCGGTCTTTCAAGATGGTGACACCAATTGCATTATCATCTCTGCGCCCGAACACACGATCCCGAACCTCTGCATTACTGACATGATGTTGCCACTGGATGTCAGCAATCCTTTGGAGACAGCGATGATCGAACACAGAGAGTCGTCTAACGTCCTCAACTCGGAGAGGCCAGGTTTCACAAGCATATAGCAAAACTGCTCTCACCGACGCGTTGTAGATCCGACCTTTTGCAACCAGACTAACATCACGAAGGCGCCAAAGGTGGCCCAGATTGGCATAAGCCGCTCTGGCTTTCACTATTCGTGCATTGATCTCATCACTCACGCCACCACCAGCACTTATGCAGCTACCCAGATACACGAACTTCTCGACTACTTCTATCTGCTCACCATCCAGGGTGAGTACAGGATTAGAATCTTGCCAATGTTGTAGAAGTACTTTATCTCACAGTAAGACAATATCATCCGCATACTCAAGGTCGAGAAGTCTTTCTCCAGACAACAGATCCACACCACCATTACTTACATCCTTCAGAGCTGTTTCCAGAATATCGTCGATGGCAAGGTTGGAGAGGAATGGTGAGATTGGGCAACCCTGCCTAACCCCACTGCTTGAATGGAACAATGGAGAGAGATGGTTGTATATAGGGCCTTTAGGATATTAATAAACTTCTCAGGCACACCCTTCTTCAATAGACAATCCCAGAGAACAGTCCTGTCCAACAAATCGAAGGCAGACCTTATGCCTTTGATATGTAGGGCGGTGTTCTAACATTTGACGGAGGGTGAAGATACGATCAATACATCCTCGACCAGAATGAAAACCAGCCTGTTCCTCGTGAGTCAATCTTTCTCGGGTTTTGAACAACCTACGAAGTATGATGGAAGCCAATAGCTTGGAAGCAATCGGAAGTAGACTTATCCCCCGATGGTTGTTACAGGAACGACGTGAACCTTTTTTAAAGATAGGGACAATTATCGACTTCTTCTATGACGTCGGTACACTCTCCAGTTCCCAGACCTTTGCAAACAACGTCGTCAATTCCTTAGTCAGAAAGTCACCACCATCTTTAAAAAGAGCTGGAGGTAAGTCATCTGGGCCCGGTGATTTGTAACGCTTCAAGAGTTGGAGTTCCTTGTGGACTTCCGCCTCATTCGGTGGATCAGTCGTCACCGGCCATGGAGGGCAGGACAGTCTGACCGATGTTGCCGAAGCAGCAGGCCAATTGAACTGCCTTTCGAAGAATTCTGTCCATCGTCCAAGACGTCGACGGATGTTGGTGATTGGCATCCCGTCATCCTCGCAGCTTGTTTCGCTCACACCAGACTTCTCGCTGCCAGTGGCTCGGATGAGTTGGAAGAGCTTCCGGTAGTTACCAGATGCAACTGCTGCTTCCAGCTCATTAGCACGTACCGACCACCAGGCTTCTCGGTCCTTACGCAAGCCTTGATCAATTTCATTACGTAACATCCTTCGTTTGTGGTTAAACTCACGGTCACCCTGAGTAGACTGACGGGTCTTAATGAGTTGTAAGAAGCCTGAAGAAACCCAGTGCTTATAAGCGGGCTGTTTCGCGAACCCACAACTGACTTTACTCGTCATGCAATTGCAACCAATACTCATCCATACTTTTCGGTGGCATAGTAGCCAGCCTAGAAGCTAGCTCGGTTTGATACTTACTAGCAACAGAAGTTGCAACCAACTTGCTGACATCAATCCTTTGGTGGCGGTCACTTCGTCGGCCGCTGAGAAGTAAGGTAAGATTGGCGCAGACCAGGGCATGATCAGAGTGCAGATAGGTACTCCAAAAGGAGCGGCAGTCTTGTAAACAACCACTCCAGCGGTAGCTGATCGCGATGTGATCAATCTGAGTCCAGGCTTGAGATGCAGAGGGAGAACGCCAGGTGGCACATCGGCGATGACTGTGCCGAAAGTTAGTGTTAGCCAGAAACAGGTTGTGGTCTGCGCACAGTTGTAGTAGACGGTCCCCGTTATCTGTCCTGCGACCAAAAAGTCCCCATCGGCCACCTAAACGACTCTCTTCTGTGCCTGGACTCCCGACCTGAGCATTCAAGTCTTCGGCTAGTACTACAATATCTGTCGAACTCACTTTCTGGAGAAGAACAGATAATTGGTGGTAAAACTCATCCTTGACTGCATCCGGGCTGCAATCTGTCGAGGCATAGGCGGAGATGACGAAAAGACATCGTCTCTCACACCGATTTCTTCTCACTTTGATGGAACTCTCTAATCTAACAGCACATAACCGACTGTTAATGGGTATCTAATCGGTCTGTGCTGCCCCTGCTCTAGCGCTTAGTGCGACACCAACGCCAGCAAGACCAGATGAAGATGCCACAGGGTCCCCGGATAAGCGCACGTAAAACAAGCTTTTCGAAGCGATAGATGAGGAGCGAATTTGTAGTACTTCACAGAGTCTTGAATACGGCTCTCGGATAGACAACAAACATCAATATTAAGACTTTCCAAAGACATAGCCAGCCCTATCTGTTGTCCGACCTGCATAAATGAGCGAATGTTGAAGGCAGCCAGTTTGAATGGTGCACGTGGTTTCAGAAAAACTGCTTCAGTACTCATATTCAGTGGTAGCATACAATTTTCAACCGGACAGTGACTCGAGAACGTTTAGATACAGTCGAATTTCCACCATAGGCGAGCTGTTGTATAAGTCGAAAAACAAGGATACTTAAAGTGGGAATAAAATAGAGTGCATAAATGACGTAGTAAATAATAATAACAATAATAATAATATTACTAATAATAATGATGTGAATTGTTTGACTGTAAATCGAAGCGAGAATAGAATTTTCAGTAAATACCGTCATTTTCATTTTATTCGTGTGTAGGCTGTGATACTGCCCGGGTGCCCAGACCAAAGCAGGTGGTTATCTTAGGAGGCCACACCCCGAGCCTTTGACCTAAACGTCTAACCCACAAGGCAGTGGAGCATCGTAAGGAGATGCAGTCCCATGGTAGCCTGTGACCAACGATTGGTTCATACGCCATTTGTTCCCGCAGGATACTGGAGCCCATGTGCATCATTGGTTTGGGATCCGGTTAAAGCGCCGGACATTAGCTTTTCGTCCTCTCATTTTCGTAAACAACTCCCCCGTCACGAGAAGGCAGTGGATAAGACTTCCCTGACAGAGGCTGTATACACGTGGCCGTGTGAGAGCATTTCGAGGGGGAGGGCGAGCCCACCCCACTCCCGGCCATACCAGGGAATTTGGGGGCTTCTCACAGAACTGGTCTTTACTGTATTCGTTGTGGTGTGTGCATACCACTAGATAATATATATTGTGATTTCCTCTCTCTTTGTTTTTAATGATGCTTTGATGATCCTGGATCCATGAGATTCCCATCCTATAAGTGCTTTACTTGATTGTTTGAATAGCATCGGAGCAACTCTCTGAGTGTGTAGAGTATTTTCCTCTCCTCGACCCGAGTACATCAGCATCTCTCCCGTATCGGTCCTTTTCTGTCCAGCTTGGGTCTAATAGGTTTCAGCGATTCCCAGTACTGCCAAATTGTATCGCCTCATTTCCTTTGCTATTTGAATGATCATTCCGGTCTCCCATATTGTCCGGACGTTCCATGCCTCTATAAAAATTATTGCTCTAGTTGTTATAAGGAGCATCGGCCTTTTGACATTCGAAGAGTCTCGGCTTTTATCCTGAGGTATCATACTTCTTTTTGAACTCGGAGGGTAGAGTTTAAATGGTTAAATAATTTCAATCTGTTTGGCGTTTTTTGCAAGATTTTCTTCTATGAGATGGTGTCGCCAACTCCATTCCCAACTCTCCTCCTTTACCCGGGCTTGGGATCGACAGCAACTCTATAAGAGCTACTGGCAGAGTTTAATTTCATATGGTCACATATGAAAACATAACGTACATTTATTTAAATTACGACCTTACTTTCTGAATAATATGCTCATTAGGATGACTGGTCGTGCTACAAAACTTTATCTTATTAATAGATATTATATAAGGAATAGAGAGTGAAATAAAGTAGCTTATTTTGATTAGAATTATTCAGAGACATTGGTTTATCACTTAGTAGTAGCCAGCGTCATGTTTGCCTAGTCCTTACTGCTGACCGAATTCTATTTATTAAGTTGGAATATAGCCACTCGTCTAAGTGACTTGACATCGAGTGGACCATGTTTTGTGTTAGGTGAAGAACTCGATAGTCAAGTTATGATACAAAGAGAGGTTACTTATGTATCCCGTTGAAGTCAAGTCAAAAATTGATAAGCTGTCATTTTGTGGATTAAGTAACAAAAAGTCAACAGTTTAAATCTCTTCATGACACAATTTATCGTCACTTCACCCACCTCCTAAAGTTAAGAATTATTGTACCTTATAAATTAACTCATATACTCGAGATTTTGAATTTCTTACATTACAATAACATGACTGTAATTTACCAAATGTTAATAAAGAGAACGAATAAACTTACTTGAACTGCACAGTTTACACAAGTTAAGCAATCAACCCTTTTACCCTAATCTTCATTATGAAGTAAAGTGTTTTGAAGAACCATTAAAAATCAATAAGTACTGGGAATCTACTGAGTCATAGTTTTTGGAATTTCTCAACAATACACACTTCCTATCATTTACTGAATTAAATCTAAAGAATTCAGAGCTTTCAGCTAGCACCCCTAAATGCCTCTACAAAAGCACAATTTAAAATCATTTTCATTTTTTTGGCATAAGTCAGATTACGAATATACCTTTCTCATTTTATATTAAACAATTACTTACCGTCAAGCTGATCAGTGTTATTGGTATTAAAATAATAAATGCTATATAAAAGATGAACGTCAACTTCGGATAAGGTATTGCAGATACTTGATCCTCTAAATATGACTGGATAATAATTTTTGTACGCTTATATTCACCCATCATCATCATTAATGTATCGAAAAATGTTAGTCCAATATTACTAAGCATATTGAATTGTTTTCTATTTATTTTTGTTATATTATTCATTGAATGGTTTAGTGAACTTGTATACTCAATGAAACAGTTACGGAACTGTATTTTATTATTGTCAGATAAAGAATTGAACACCTGAGTAATAAACAGAAATAGAGAGGAAATAAAACGTATGCATTTAGCTATCAATACATGAAATTGTTCAGCAAATAAGAATGGTTCACTTCAAGTGTATGGGTATTAAATCTCTCTACTAGAAATATGTCAGAATAGTAGTTTTGATATTAATGATCCAAATGTATTGTTAACTTTGAGACATTAATTACAGTGTATAAACGTTGGTATGACTTATAGAAGACTATGATTACTTTGTAGTTCAATATTTGGTTCTTATCATATTGTTTCAATAACTTCTTTCACTTTTCTACTGTTATTTACAGTATCAAGGAGAAGTGAGAAGAGAACAGCATGAAATTTGAATAGTTACTCTTTAGGTAATTAGTTTGTATATTTTGAACAAGTATTTAACAAATGATCATTTTATGATATCATCCTAAGTCATTCTAATTTCAAGGTTTCTTTCATAAAATTGAAGATTGTTATATCTCTTACTAAACGAATGTAAAATTCGATTATATAAATAGTCTTATAACCATTCGTTTCACCTACTACTGTTATTGTTGAAAATTTGAGAAAGTCAAAATTCACTGGTATATTGACAGCATGAACATACAGTAATGAATATGAAGGCTTTATCTTTAGTGGCGTAGAGAACGTCAATAGTTACATGTTTAACTTAACAGAGATAATAATTCACTGTTTACTAGTCTATACATATAAACTACATCTAATTCCATAGTGTCTTTTGATAGTGAAAAGCTTTCGTAGTTCGTTTTTAGAAGGTTATCGAACATAAATTTGTTCATTTAAAGACAATACTTTATACATTAAGTAATAATTTATAAATAGATATCGAATGAATAATTAGGTTAAATTATCAATGAACTGTCAATTAAACAATGATTTTAACAATGACTTTAATGATGAGAAGTTTTTCTGTTTAAATGTTCGATCAACTTGACACTTAGAGTTGACTAATTTAAACCAAGGTAACTCAATTATAGAATATCAACATTGATGGGAAGTCATGATCATGTCTTTTATTAAAATTGCCTGATCACATGAGTTTTATAGTGTGAATAATACAGAGTAGCCATCGTACTTAATTGATCATCCTAACACCTTTATTATTTAATTTTCAGGAGCTAATTATGATACAGTCGGAGTTGGCTGTCGTTTGAGAACATAAATTAACTATACTAACTGTTGTATAATGGAAGTAAGCAGAAAAAAAGTCATAAAGAAATTCTGTTTAAAAATTATTCTATTTAATACTAAGTATTTTACATATTTTGCTCATTTTTCGCGGTTTAAAATATAAAGTCATTATGAAAATATTTAGATATTTTAATGAACATTTCTATATTTTGAGGATAATTCTAACTAGGACTGATGCCAGATGGTCATGTACTGCTGGTGATTCTTAAACTACAACAAAACATTTGAGTAGTTAGTACTTAGTTAGTTAGCGCTAAACGAACTCTAATAGAAATGATCTGTCAAGCGATTGAAATATTATCATCCCAAAGTTTAAATGCTAATTCGTTGAGGAGTGTTCGTTTAAAACACTAAAACGCTCGCATTCATTTCAAATGAATCCATATACCAAATCCTTTGTACGAATTCTTAAAACAAGAGATGGTATGCAGTAGTAGAAGCTACCTATGCCAGGCTAGTAAGATATCTGTTTATTTCATGAGGTAATTATCTTACTATTCTTGGATAAACAATACGATTAATGAGCATTTATGAAGTGTATCGAAGTGATTAATTGTGCAACTTTCCACTCACGCCTATAATTGTGTTAGTAAAGTATTGTCATTCATATAATGTGTGTAATTATTCAGTGAAACAAGTGGGATTTTGTTTGTGAATATATCAATGTCCTCTGATTTTTAAAAGTACCTCAGTGCATACACTTAGTTCCTTTTTATATAACTGTAGACTTAAAACGTTAATTAAACTAGAATATAATGAATTCCTTGTTTTTTTATGGACTTCGTTTAAATACGTTAAACCTTATTCATATAAAAAGATAATATAGTATTATGCAATCACCAAAGACAAACGTGACTTCAGTTTATGACGTAAATATTCTTTATTATGAGATTACCATAATAACTATGTATGTACTGATTATATATGTATATATAAAATAATTAACCTCTTCATCTGGTAACTGAATTAGTTGTTGAAATACTGTTGCAAATCCAATAAGAAGATATAAAGATAAAGGTAACAATTTAGCAACTGTGGCTGTCACATGTATAAACATGATGATAAATATTCCAAAATCTTGTGACCTATAAATGAGAAAAAATAGACAAAAATGATGGAGGTTTAGAGTGGTGGTTTGAGGTAGTCGACAGGAAACCAAGGTTTCATACTGTTTGGTACTCATCATTAAAGTTTACCTGTAGTCCTGAGGGGACTGATGTTCCCTGGCACTAAGAAGGACCTGACATAGATGACATTGATCACTACCCAGTGACCAATCATTTGTAAATCATTTAGATTAACTAAATAGTGAAGTTTTACTTAAGTATGTAACTTTTGATTGAAAAAGTACAATAATGAAAACTAGGGAATATCATACATCTAGATTACAACAAATGATGAATGATGCACAACTAAAATAAATTTTACTGAGATCCATTGTAAAAAGTATAAGTGTAATGTTTAACTATCTATGAAAAATAATTATGAACTTTGAAATTAAGATTAGTTATAGATAAATAGCATTGTCTGTGGTTGTGTTCTGTTTTCGGAGCGGGCACAATGAAATGATCTATCTACGTTCGTAGTGTGTTCATCAACAAATATATTGACTTGTGTTTCAGGATTGATATAATTTAGTTCTGACCCTCGATCTTGTGGCGTATACATTTTTCAGACTGAATTGGGGTTATTTGAATTTTCTCAACAGTAGTATGCCTTATAAGCGAAGATGGATAGTGGCTAGCAGTGGGGTCCAGGACGCGCGTTTCGTCCTGTTGGGAACTCGTCAGCTGGATGTACCTGCATTTCAGAGTTGATGTTCACTCTGGGACTCGAACTCAGTACCGTTCGCTTCAAAAGCCATCGTAGTATGCCTTGAAAACGTCTATATACATAATGATTTACACTTGCTAGTCCGAAGTCGTTAAGGTCATGTAAACTTTATTTCGATGCCTATAGGTAATGTTTTGTGATCTATTAAAAAAGTATAGCACAGAAATTATGTTTACTTCTTTATAATAATCCTACAATTACATATCAGCTTATATTAATATTGATTCTATGGTATGGTGTTATAATATAGTTATATATTTACGCAGTGTTTTATTTAAGACTATTACGGACAGTAATGCTATTATAGAACAAAAAATAAGAAATACTTTTAACCAATTATTTATACCTTGATTAACCAGTTAAAAATTATATTAGTGTAATTAATATTAAATATATGAATAATACAAACCTAATCATTTGTAAAAGTAGATTCATCCAAGCTATAAACATGACAATTATTGCTAGAACAGCAGAATATAGTTGATTATTACCAATTAAACTTATTACTGAATTTATAATAAGTAATGAGTGAAATATTAAAGCAAAGTGGTTATTCCAATGTTTAAAATATTTCACTCTCTAAATGGTAGTATAAAAGAGAAAAAGATAGACAAATAATTACGAAATATATAAATCGAAATTTCAATAAAATATTTAATAGTTACTTCTCGGATGAGGATAAAAAGGAGAAGATTGGCAAAACAAGGGAAGCATTACTACAGTTGAACAACATATGCAACTCAAAACAAATGTCAGACAACATCAAAATCAGAATATTCAATACAAACGTCGAGACAGTCATAATGTATAGAGATAAAACTTGGAGAACTACTACAATCATCAATAAAAAAGTATAAGTATTCATAAATGATTTGCTACGCAAGATACTGAATGTCCGTTCACCGGATACCATCAGCAACAATCTACTGTGTGAGAGAACAAACCAACTTCTTGACGAATAGGAAATTAGGAAAAGACGTTGGAATTGGATAGGACATACATTGAGGAAATCACCAAACTGCATCATGAGGCATGTGCTAACTTGGAATCGTGAAGGGAAACGGAAAAGTGGAAGGCCGAAGAACACACTGCATTGGGAATCGGAAGCATAGATAAAAATTCTGAATATCAACTATGAACAACTGGAAAAGATTGCCCAGTACAGAGATGGATGGAGAGTGCTGGTGGGTAGCCTATGCTCCTCCACGAGGAGTAACAGTCGTAAGTAATTTTCAAAAATAAAACAAAGCAATTAAATAGATTAACTGAAAAAAGCTTATGGATACAAATATAGAGTTATTGATTCTGTGGATAACTTGTTCTGTAAGATAAAGTTTGTATTTGTTAGCACTACATGTTATTACAAACGTACCATACGCTAATTGTTCTGTGTCATATTCAATTATCTATATGCTAGAATTGAGGATAAAATATATGGAATAGAAAAAAATCAAAAGGCGTATCAAGTTGATTGGATAAGATAAGATAAACCGTTGGATGATGATTGATCTACATAAGTTCTCTGTATAGACAAATGTGGTATTTTCTCTTCACTTTTTTATGTTCTTACTGAAAGTTTAATCACCACAGAATTATTTTTAATGAACCAAAATATCAACAAGCTTTTGATACAGTACTAACATAGTTAATTACTCTTACGATCCCTCGTGAAGGAGCATGAATTACCCATTAGGATTCTCCATTGAACTCCTTCTTGGGCAATCTTTTGCAGCTTTTTACAATTGATATTCAGAATTTTTATCTATGCTTCCGATTCCCAATGCAGTGTGTTCTTCGGCCTTCCACTTTTCCGTTTCCCTTCACGATTCCAAGTTAGCACATGCCTCGTGATGCAGTTTGGTGATTTCCTCAATGTATGTCCTATCCAATTCCAACGTCTTTTCCTAATTTCCTATTCGTCAAGAAGTTGGTTTGTTCTCTCACACAGTAGATTGTTGCTGATGGTATCCGGTGAACGGACATTCAGTATCTTGCGTAGCAAATCATTTATGAATACTTATACTTTTTTATTGATGATTGTAGTAGTTCTCCAAGTTTTATCTCTATACATTATGACTGTCACGACGTTTGTATTGAATATTCTGATTTTGATGTTGTTTGACATTTGTTTTGAGTTGCATATGTTGTTCAACTGTAGTAATGCTTCCCTCGTTTTGCCAATACATCATTTACGTCTGCATCAGATTCTCCTTGTTCATCAATGGTGCTTCTTAGGTACATGAAAGATTCCACATCTTCTAGGGCTTCTCCATCAATTGTGATTTTGTGGGTGTTCTCTGTGTTGTATTTGAGGATCTTGGTTTTCACCGTGTGCGTGTTGAGATCTACTGATGCAAAGCCTTTTGCTACATTGGTTGTCTTGACATAAATTTGTTGATGTGTATTAAACAGAAGGCTTAGGTCATCTACGAAGTCCGAATCGTTTAGGTGCATGTTCTGATACAGTGGTAATATACTTTTCATTCTTATATCAATAGCATTTATACAGATCTAGCTTTTAGGCAATCAAATTATTTACGTTTATGGGTTATCTTAGCTGAATAGTTTATGAATCGACATATATTTTCTAATTTTTATGTCACTAAATTCATAGTTAGGTAGTGACCACACCATTTATTCAATGAAATTTTAAAAAAATTAGTGATTTTTTAGAGTGATGTGGTCACGAATTATCAATATCCATCTTTATTGTTATTTTGCTTACATTATTAATTTTTAAAGTCAGAAAGGGTTTTTGTGGATATTATAGTAATTTAATAATTGAGATAATGATTCAATTAAAGCTAGACCACCATGAAAAACGTGGATTCACTAAAAGACCGTTCCGTCCTATTATGGGACTCCTCAGCAGTGCGTATCTGAGACTCCGCTAGCGGGATTCGAAATTAGGACCTATTGGTCTCGCGCGTGAACGCTTGACATCTAAACGACTGAGTCGGCATCGAACGGTGTTAATGTCTAACTTTAACCTATCCACGAAATTGGCTCAAAGGTTAAGCGTTCGCGCGAGAGACCGATAGGTCTTGTGTTTGAATCCCGCTGGGTGGGATTGTTTACAATAATAATTTGTAAAGTCCCAAAATTTTCCACAAAAACACATTGCAAGTGTAAAATATTTCGCATAGAAAATTTAAGTTACAACATTGTGTTCGAATAGGGAGATTTTAGACAAATTAACTAAAAATTGAACGTTCAACATAATTTAAACAACAGGAAAGCCCTTTCATCATTAAGTAGTTAAACAAAAAATAACTTTCAATTTGGTTAAATGAATCGAACTTAAATGTAATGCTCTTACTTGTGAAATAATTTGCAAGCATTGTGTAAACATATTTGATAAACTAACAAACAAAATGAAAATCAATATTCTTTTGTTAAAACTTGATTCATTTGTTTGACTGTATAACTGAAAGGAAATTGATACAGAAAAACGTTAAACGACATGACCTTGTGATTTATTTGAAAAAAAAACGTGGTAACAACAAGTACTTAAGATGTAGGTTATCATTAACAAAATAATCTTTGTAGCTTTAATAGACAACAAACATTGTTTTTAACTTAGTATGAGATCGTTAAAGTGTGCACACTTATTGCGTCAGAATATATGATCTTTAAAAATTTCGCCAATGGGCATAATACCCTTCATCAAATGTTATAACTTTCTCAATTTCAAATACATGACTATATGATACAGGGATAATTCAATAATCAATCCAACTTCAGGGATCTATTTACCTTAGTTACCAGTTAAGATTTAAGCTAGTGGACCCGTCATCAAAACTATCAATTTTTACTTATTTTGTTTGATTATGTAATCCATTTCGTTGTTATTATTGACTCATAAACTATATTGATTGGTTTGGTATTTTCATATATCCATATAAATATTACTTTTTATATTAGAGTATAGCCTGGTGATAGTTTAATTGAAAGTCATACTGTTCGTTTAGGATCAATTCTATATAGCAATCCTAGTTTTTTGTTCAGTAGATAGATCTCTTTCAATTACAACCCTTATTCTTGATTTTTGCTTTCATTACATCATGGATCATGTAAAGTGAATAGCAACAATTATCCATACTTGCTGTTATGTATATGAAAATTAGTTGATTAAGAAGAAAATTATCACTTGTCTACTTGAATAGATTCAAATCAACCGTTTTAAAATAGTTTAAGTTCATAGTAAATCTATTTATCTAATTAAATCACTCAGATGACAACAAGAAGCTAGACAACTGTTGATTAATTGTTTTTAATATGCATAAATTACTTAAACATTTTACATAAATGAACTTTCTATTCGTTGACATTTATTTGGTAACTATCTTACAAAAGTAGTTTCTGTGAATGTTTCATTGAAAAATGTTTGAGAAAAGTGCTAAAATCTTATTCATTATATGATTTACTCTTGTTTGGCTGAAGAAACTTGTTTACTATTGAATAATTGACATTAGAGCCATTATATAGTTCAAAAATATGTTCCGTTACTAACTAAAACAACCTAAATTTATCTACGGTAACATTAAAATGTTGTCTCGTGGTTTCTAATTCGAATTATAGCATAATTTAGATTTACTCTGGATCTCATATCATCAAGTGATGAACCGATGTGTATTAGGATAAAAGAATACTGTTAAACCTTTCATAGTAAATTTAATTAATCATAACCATAACAAATTCAACTGTGACAACTCAACACTAATATCCTAATAATCTAGTGAGTCGCAGATTTTCATCATTATCTTAGGATCACTAAAATCATAGATATCTTTAAAGTAATAAAGATTAGCTTATTATAAAAAGAAAATTTTTCATAACTTACATTTTGAACACAGTGATCTACTTGATTATTATTATATCCCATAATTAATGGTACTTGTCTTAGGCAGGAAAAGGTTACTGCCGAATTTAATATTATGTAATAAACAGTTATGATTAAATGAACCCATCTACCATACATCATCCTATTTTTTGGGGGGAAAATCAATAAAGATGGTGTAAATAAATGATTATATGTTATGTCGATAAGGTTAAATAACTCATAACTAATAGTCTTTAATCTTTCGATTTTATAGATTCCGAAAGGTTGTGTTTAGGAAAAAACGATGGAAATGGATAGGACATACATTACGCAAATCATCAAACTGTATCATGAGGCAAGCCTCAACATTGAATTTTGAAGGGAAACGGAAAAGAGGAAGGACAAAGAACACATTAAGTTGGGAAATAGAAGCAGATATGAAAAGGATGAATAAGAACAGGAAAGAGCTGTGAAGAATTGCCCAAGACAGGGTTAGATAGAGAGTGCTGGTGAGCGGCCTATGCTCCTCCACGAGGAGTAACAGGAGTAAGTAAGAAAGGTTATGTATATTAGATCTTTTAAAATAGTTTTGTCATTGTATATATGTACGTTAGTTTAAAAAAATTAATATTAACTGAATAAACGGCACAGATTGAACAATCTTTATGCTTTTAGGATTTTATAATATGAAGATGCCTTGGCAAAACTTATGTTTAGTAAGTGTATACCTTTGTCAAATGGTAATATACTATATATGTGTTTAAATGTTATATAGAAGTATTTTCCTTAAAACCAGTTTCATAGTCTCACATGTCATGTATATAAAAATTAAGTTTAGAAATTAAAGTATGAATACTGAAAGGTTCAACATAAAGTTTTAGATCCACAGTTTTGATTACATATGCAAAACAAATTGAAGTCGGTGTACAAAAGTTAATACTACCTATATAAGAAAATCTATGAAACAACATTGTACCGAGATGGTGATTAGTTAATCTGTTCATTACAACCAAATATCTTAATTCATTTCTAAAAAACACAACTTCAAAGAGTTAACTGATTAAGCAAAGATGGATAGTGGCTAGCAGTGGAATCCAGGACGCGCGTTTCGTCCTATTTGGGACTCGTCAGCTGGATGTACCTGCATTTCAGAGTTGATGTTCACTCCGGAACTGGAACCTAGTACTGTTCGCTTCAAACGCCATCCCGGAGTGAACATCAACTCTGCGATGTAGGTACATCCAGTCGACGAGTACTAAATAGGACGAAACGCGCGTCCTGGATCCCACTGCTGGCCACTAACCATCTTTACTTAAAATGCTTGTGACTTAAGGTTTTATCGAGGCAATCCACACAGAATGCACATATGCCAACATGAGACTGTTCAATTACAGTTCTAAATAGCAATGGGAAGATACAAGTAAAACAACACCAAGTGAAGTTAACTGCTCAAATTTCTTACATTAGACTAAAAAATAAAATTTGTTAATTAAGTATTGAAATAAATTACTGTCAGTCTACTTAAACAATGACAACAATGATTTAAAACAATTAGTCCCTTTGATAAATTTCGATAATGATATTAGAAGACGAAGATTATCAGAACTATGTGATATATTAGCGCAATACAATGATTTAAACAAAAATAAATATACTAATCACTTGCCATTTTACTTTGAGAAACATCTCACATAAAGGATGAACAAGTAATTTATCCCGTTTATGAAGAATCATAATCTTTGAAATGTTAAAAAAAAAGAAAAAAATGTTAAATTTTGTTTAATTCTAACTTTGGTAACAGATTTCTAATCCTACTCTGTCAATTTTCAGTTTGATAACCAGATTGTCCTAATTTGATGGTTATTATCAATTACTTTCCATATTCATCTTGTGTATTTATTGAGCTTTTGAATCAGTTTTTCATAATCTTTTTCTTCTGTCTTCCAAATCCTCACATGTGAGTTTCACTGTACACTCTTGTGAAACATAATGTACTTTTAGGATAGACGTAATTCTATCAAAATCGGAATGTTACACAATGCACCATTAAACTTATTTGATTCATATGAATCGATATGAGATTAAGAATTTCCGATGGTAAACAACATATCTGTCAAAATTATCTCCTGTAAGAATAATGTAGATTGCATGTAAAAAAGATTTAAGGTGAATAAATTTGCATCTACATGGATACTTGAAAGTAATTTCTGCATCACGAGCTGTTAACAGCCGTAAAACTAATCGGAAACTATGAAGCTCTAAATAAGAATTTCCTTTAGATTGTACGAAATCTTCACAAGGTCATGTAATCACAAATGACCGATTTCTTTACGTCTGAAGATACCTTAACTGCCGAGTATTGTTGTATAACTTTCTAACACCTTTCCATTTTTGGCTGGATAATTATTTATAGATCTTCTGTAGGAGTTAACTTAAAGAGTTTGTTGACTATCTTCATAGCGATAATAAAGACTAGTATCCATTTACTTTTTATCATATAAACTGTCTAATCATGTATTTTATAAATCCTCAAGGTTGAATGCAAAAGTTATGGAATGATTCAATGCTTCAATATTTTTATAAATGAGAAAAATTTAACTCCTTGTATTAAGATAACAAGATAATTATTCTAGGGAGTAATTTTTAGGTTCATTGTTTTCTTAATAAAATCCCATCTGATTGGTCTCAATCACCGATTGTGCTAGTCTATAAGAAAGGAAAAAAGTCCTCTTGTGACAATCACAGAGGAATCAGTTTGACTAATATATTGTCTAAAATATTAGCTTCAGTAATACTTCGACGCCTAATCAAAGCTCGTGAAGAGCAGATTAGAGAAAACCAGGTCGGTTTTCGACCTGGACGTGGTTGTGTAGATCAGATATTCACACTACGTCAGGTTATAGAACACAGACACTCGTTCAGACGCCCCACAATGGTAGTATTTCTCGACCTTAAAGCAGCATCCGACTCTGTCGATCGTAAGGTTCTATGGCAGTGTTTGTCACTGAAAGGAGTACCAAAGAAGTACATTAACCTTGTAAAGGCTCTCTACTCGACAAACAACTGGTAGAGTGAGAACTTATGGCGAACTGTCATCAGAATTGATTACCTCAAGTGGTGTTTGTCAGGGCTGTCCACTCTCTCCATTCTTGTTCAACTTTGTAGTCGACGTACTTTGAGAGATAACACTTCCCTCGTCTAGATTTTCAGAGGTTGAACTTCTGCCGGGAGGTTCACTTGTTGACCAAGAATATGCCGATGACATAGTTCTATTTGGTGAAGACGCTGACAAAATGCAGAGTCTTCTGACCACTCTAAGCAACAATGCAAGCATGTTCGGGATGCGATTCTCCCCCTCGAAATGCAAAATGTTGCTTCAGGATTGGGTTGCTTCGACACCCGAACTAATGATAGGGAGTGAAGTAGTTGAGCGTGTCGACTGCTTCACTTATTTCGGAAGTCTCATCAGCCCTTGTGATCTGGTGTGTGACGAAATCTCAGCACGGATACAGAAGGCTCGACTAGCTTTTACCAACTTGCGTCATTTATGGCGTAGGCGAGATATCCGTTTATCAACCAAAGGACGTGTTTACTGCGCAGCAGTTCGTCCCGTCCTTCTTTATGGCAGTGAAACATGGCCGGTAAGAGTAGAGGATATTCGTAGGTTACTAGTATTTGATCATAGGTGTCTTCGAAACATTGCTCGTATATCCTGGGACCATCGAGTAGGTAACGTAGTTTTTAGGAAACGGGTACTAGGTAAGGATGGCAAATCAATTGATGAAGTAGTGAAACTTCATCAGTTGAGATGGCTAGGACACGTGTTACGTATGTCCAACCACCGACTGCCTCGACGTGCTATGTTCAGTGGTATAGGAGTAGGTTGGAAGAAAGTAGGGGCAGCCAGACCAAAACATGGCACACGTCCATGAAGTCACTGACAAGTGGACTGAGTCATGTTGGTAGGTGTAGACTACCTGGTTGGGGACCGCGAGATGACAGCAACCGATGGTTAGAGACCCTGAATGACATGGCTCAAAATCGTCTGTAATGGCGCAGGTGCATCCAGTATTTGCGTCCTCCCAAATTCTAATCTTCTGAATTTGTCATGTCCCTGTTTTCTCTTTACAAATTTATTTCACTATATTATACCCCTTGAATAACATCTTCGAGCCCTAATCTTTCCGATTACTGCTTATGCTCTTACTACCTTTACCACTACGGAATTTGAGTCGACAACTGCATCTCTATGCTAATGTGTTACTGACTGACGGACTGACTACCGTTTCATATGAAATTGTATTCTAGTCATCAGTTTTTTTTAAATAAACAAAATTAGTTTACCTTTAAGTGTTGTAGTGGTTCAGTTGGTTGTCTGTTGCGATTTTTTAAAGGTGGTTGTAATATAGAGAAATCAAACAATGTCTAGACAGACAGAAAATAGAAGACAAAGAAACAAGTAACAATGCCTCAACATACTATATAATATAAAAGATCCCATAAACCATTTCTTTTATTGGTTTACATATCTAACAAGGGAAGTAATGAAAAGTATAAACTGAAAGTAACTCATGAAAAATGTCACGAAACTTTGAAAAAGAATCAATGATCATAGAAACACACTGATTCATTAGAAAAATATTTACATACATGTCAGTCACCTGATAAGTTATGAAAATATGACATGGTTACTTTTTTGGGCATCGGTAATCAGTAGGGAATTTTGAACGTTGCTAGATTTTATACTGGGATTAACACGAAGTCAAGTCACTTGAACAATATGACTTATAGAGTTCAATCAATAGTGAGAACTAGACAGTATAATATTGGTTATCAGTCAGTAACCAATAACTGTGAGCTGCATAGCTATCTGACAATGAATTAAATGATCAAATTAGTCAATAGAAACACATGTACATTTAATAATGATAACGTTGATTTTGCAACTTGGTAATAAAGGTCCGTGAAAAAGTGTGTAAGTCATACAATTTTATGAAGGCTAGTAATACTATTGATCTAGCAAAACAAAAATAAATGAAGTTCAGTTTAAACTTTTTGCCTAAATGTTGAAAGTTTTCTTTGGTGTTAACTGATAGAAACTGTGAATTACCATTATACTTATTGATATTAAATGAAGAATAGTTGAGGATCATTAAGTTCTAAACATATTTACTCTGGTTTAAAATAGATGTATACAATTTAAGGATTTTTAGAATTTTTCAAAATCAGAAGTAAACAGTTTCATCGGGTAAAGAGTATGGAGTTTTGAAAATTGATCTAAACTATTTATCTTCTGAAACAATTGATAAATATTAGTTCATGAAGAGAAATGTCTTCAAACTAGTGATTCGTTCACAAAGCACTCATATGAATTTTGTTTTTCTTTCACTGATAAATTTTTCTTATACATTCAACCCTCAGACAAGTACGAAATTTGCACCTTACTGAAATAAATATTTATTCTGATAGTGAGTTGTAAACATCTGTAAATAGTCACTTAATGTAAGCATGACTGATAACGTTATTTACTGATCTTACATAAACGACCAACAAAAAACATAGAACATTAAAGAGTCAGTAAGTTCTAGCACGAAAATTTGTCAAATAGTGAACTTAAGATCTACTGCACTCCAGGTAAGGGAAATCATCGAGTCTGAACCCTGTGGTCGAGATTTCTATCTTCAGTTGTTTCATGATATTGGGTTATAATTCATTGTCATCATTGAGAACTGTCTCATTTCTAGCGTTGTTAAATCTTATCAGTCACCAGCTCTCTCTAGAACCAGGGGATGATGAGCACATAGTTATTCATAGAGTTATCATAAATTATATTTGGCATCATATAAACGATTATAAAATAATGATAAATACAAATTCGTTTCTTTTATGAATACTGGTTTAAGATTTTCTCTATATAAAATAAATATTATTCAGTTACCCCATGTTCTGGACTGTTCACTTTTCCTTGATCAGTGATATACCGGTCCATAACCAACTATAAACAATTAGATGTATACCAGATTATTTTAAAAAGGTAACTACTTAATAATAATAGAAATTTATTTTTATGTTATTGATGTTTATTTTTGACCTTTTTATTGCATTTCTCTGTGTCTGAAAGGCATCATAACCGTAGGACTGTATAGATACTCAGCTGAAAACTATAAACTGACAATTTATATTTAGTCATCAAGTTATTTTACAATCCGCTTAAAGTCTAAAGAAACTTTGGTAACCTAATATCTGGCTCGCAAAGTACATTTTTCACTTTCAAAGATAAGTCTCAGTAAACATAAAATATGATTTATTCATGTCAACCCATAAGGATTCAACACTTTATTCATTCTTTACAAAGATTTTATTATCAATGTATTGAATGAACTGTTCATACATTTCACTAGACTGGTGCATATTTGAAGATTTAGAAATAGTTAGTTCACAGTGTTGTAACCTCAAAACTAATCTGATAAAAGAGGGAAATTGCTAAGCTAAACAAAACGACTATTCACTCATAGGATACATTTCCAACTGCCAACAAAATAGATTCCAGAAAAGAGATTCTCACACCAAATAGAGTATTTTTGTATTGTGTATTATTATTGTTCATGCTTGTATATAAAATGTCCAGCCACAGTAGTATAAACTTAAGTTGCCCATCAGTTTATGAAAAATAGTTTAATTCATAAAAGTGAATACTGAATATTTCGATGACTTTGATGACTTTCAAATGACTTCTCGTCTTTAAATCGTTCTCTTGTCTAAGAAATGTAATCATCATTTATTTACGATCGACCAATTACTCAAGTCTTTTAATATTAACATAAAAGTAATCATTATCAACACATCGTAGAGTGCTATTCAAATGTTTATATTTCAAAGGAAAATCTTTCTGAAGTTTCATATGTGGAATTTATCTAGCAAAATTCATTTTGATTTCATATTAGAAAACTTGCAATAGCTTTGATTATGACTTAATAACACTTGAATGTTATAAAAGAAGACTCATTCATAAAAGGAATGAGTTAGAAAAATGAACAGTTATGTAATCTTGAAGTAAAATTCATTGTGAATTCATTAAAACGGTAGTTTACATAGTGTCGGCAATTTATACAGCATCTTAATTGCTTACAGTGAGATGAATTGATCCATTTGTATCGAGTTTATGTACCGTCAGTATAACTAAACTAAGATTGATATGTGAGTTTTATCAAGATTTTAATGACAAACAGCTGTCATTCAAGTAGCATACATTATATCAATATGTTTAGGTGTCTGTAATTTTTTGGTACGAGTCATGGAATTGATATAGGGAATACCAAAACAGTTATATACGAATTATTCTTCCTCTTTTCTCACCAAAGAAACCACATACCAAACAAATTTCAGGTAAATACTTTATTAATTCTTTGAATGGACAGTATATTGTGTTGCTAAGTAACTCCACTATTTCGGGCCATCTGTAAATGATAAAAATATATTATATTGTTAAATAAGTTGTTGTAACTATGATACTGTTACACAATGACGTGATTTTATAAAGATTTTATATAATTTGATAAGAATTGTCATCATGAACTGATGACAGTTGAGAACAACAGGAACAGGTTGGTTATTTCAAATAACTGTGATATTTATTTACACTGCACCAGTGAGATCCTACACATGATAAGACTTAGAGCTCCAAATCTTCAAACTAGATCGTTCAAACATATTATTCTATGGTTCTGAGATCCTAGATTCAATTATATGTAGGTTATTAGTAATGCTTCGCTGAAAAGTTTTAAATAAGATCTAAACAAACCGTTCACTAGCTCTTAGCTTTTAAAACTTCTCCAGCTGTTAATAGTTTGTGATAGAAATTTCCTTCAAGGTTTATTTAAACTGCATAACTTTCACGAGAGAAAGATATGTATGAGATGATATAATATTCTGAGTGAGGGAATATTCAGTCAGTCAGTCAGCTACAACGTAGAACCAGGCACATATGTGCATCAGTCCAAGTTGACATACCTCATTAACCCAACAGGATGAACACCGAATTCATAGAAGTAGTTAATTCAGTGATGGTAATATATAAAAAAAGTTTGCATATGAGAATATAGTACAGAAACAAGTAATTAGTTGATAGGAAGAAAGATATGAAGCGATTTTAATCTCATAGTTTAAAGGAAGACAGAGAGTGTATACACCGATGCTATTGTGATCGATTCTGAGCGATGTCACCAAGAGTCTCCAACCATTGGTTACAATAGTTACGCGGACCCCAACCAAGTAGTCTGCATCTACCAACATGGCTCAAACTAGAAGTTATTGACTTCAAGCACTGATGCCACGTTTTGGTTTGGTCACCCCTAACTTTCTTCTAACCATCTCCAACACTATAAGGTAATATTAAGTAAATATGATATTGATAATATGAATGTCTAGTATTTTGAAACCAATAAATCAGGAATTATTAGCCTATTTATTTTTAGATTCGTAATAGGAACTACTAAATGTCTATGATGTCCAAATGACTAAAGTATTTCGAATACAATAACTGTGTTGATAAACATGAGGTGAGTTAATTTAGCTTCTAATATTGTAATATAATCACTTAAATAGATGAAAGAAACAGATAGATTATTTAAAGTTAATCAAACGTATACATCTTTATGTATTAATATTTAGGCATTGTAAATATTTGCAATACATGTTTAATTTACTTTTCACAGAGGAGCTTTTCCATTGAACTATGAGTAATAATATTATGAGTTATGTATACATACTTGTTTACCATATTAATTTCTTAATTTCCTATCTACTTACTTCCTGTTTATAATTTAAGTTTTTTTGTTCTCCCTTTATATATGAGTTATCGACACTGAACCAATAGATTGTATCATATAATATAATTTGAATTGTCCTATGAGTAGTTATATATTCTAGTGTTTTGCAAAATAATAACTTTCATGGTAATCATCTTTAGTTACTGGTCTACTGATATCTGGTTAGGTTGATCTCTTGTTTTAATTATGCCTTATTTTTAGTCTAACTGTTTAACTTAGCTTTTGATCAATCCAAATTGATTCCTCTGGAGTATTTTGAATACTTGTGATACAGTCGGTGAGTCACTTATAAGGATAGACAACATCTGTAATTTATCAAATTATCATTTTAATTCTATTTTTTAGTATAGGATAGTGAAGATAGATCGATTCATGGTTTCAATGAAATTGAACAAAGATTATTATTGAAAAACCTAGAAGCATTGTTTTCGGTCGTTTCGTCCTAGTATGGGGCTCCTCAGAAGTGGGCTTTCACAATCTCACACGCGGGAATCGAACCCAGGAATGCACGGATGCTTAACCTCCGGATTTTCAGGGGTGACATAACTTAACATGGCTCATAATTTCAATTAATTGTAATTGTAAGTTTACTCTTTTTGTCTTCTGAATCTTCTGTACATCACTTCCACTTAATAATGATAACAACGTACATGTTGAGCGCTGATACTACATTTAATCATTCAGATTATAATTGTAGTAAGTGTCTTTCAACTATATACACATACACCCTGTTTTGTTATAGCTAGAAAGTGCATCAAATAAACATGTTGTACTTCCATTAATCACGTTTCTGTTCGTAAAACATTTAATCAGCTATGTGTCTTCTCTTGTGTGCATTTGAATATGTGCATGTCCATTATCTATTTTATCGATTCTCTTATAGGTTGTCAATTCAACTAGTCGATAAATCATAACTCAAATAAATTCATATCATGCTTAAGCAACACTCTTTACACTCTCTTTCTTCGGCTGTCCGACTGACAAACGTTTGATCTATTGAATTCCAACCTAATCCGTATTTAGATTTTGGATTTTAAAGTAGAAATGCATTTGAACGCACGTCGACAGTTTGCAACAAGACACGAGTAGATTAAACTTGGAGTTAGAACATAGTAATTTGAATTGTAAGTTTTATAGCCTCATATCCACATACAGATCATAGACCTATCTTTCTGACCAGTGTTAAAAAGATATGAAACAAGGGCTTGGCAGCTAAATGTTTAACTGCAATACGACAGATTATTTGTGTTCACTTTTATGATTAGTTCTAATCCCTTGATTTGTACCTGAATACATGTATGAATGTTTATGCATACTTGTCTGATGATCTTGTTGCATTGGATCTATCTAATACATTACGCTTTAGGTCAGCATATTTATATGTATTACCGTAACTAACCTTTCATGTAGAACTATTTCTTTAACAGCTGCCTCATTTTGTCTTGTGATTGCATAATTTGAGAAGTATAATCCATTATGATCTGGTTTGATCTCCGCACCGTTAGATAGTAAATATTCTATTGTACGACTGTTATTCCTTATTGCAGCAATATGTAATGCAGTCATCTACAAATTATTAAATATTGTGTGTCTACTGTATTAAAACCAATAGAAATAAAATGACGGTTGTATAGATCGAGTGAACAATTTGCAAATTATGTGTTCTTTTTTATCACTAAATAAATACCAGACGTACATACTAGTAGTGTGTGCTACTGATGTGGACGGATATAAGTAGTATATATCATCAATAGAAAGTGAAATATCTGGAGGCAGAAGGTTAAGAAGATCGAAGAAACAAGAACGAGAACAGAGAGTGATTGGTGTGGAAACGAAGGAACAATCAAGTCTGAGACTATTGGTGGATATTTTACAAATAAAGTATTTACTGGTTGGTTGTCAGATTTGACTAAGATTCTGTAATTTTGCATTCAAATACACGTGTGTTCTCGCTCAATACAGTAGTACTTAGATATGAAAGTAACAATTTCAGAACAAGTGTGTTCGCTAAAGATTTTGTTTTATAGTTTAAATTAGTTGTGACAACTGACATATTTAGTCCAGGATGTAGTATTCAACCATAAACTGTTTTTATCAAATTTGGATAGCAACCAGCACTAAAATCCAGGACTCGCGTTTCGTCCCATTTGGAACTTGTATGTTGGATGTTCCCGCGTCCTTATCGGTCTTCACAGTGAGATCCAAACGTTGTAGCTTCCACTACAAACAAAACCTACATCTCCGGTCCCAACGTTAGCTAATCCTTGGTCTTAACAAAAAAATTATGACGAACGGTAGGAGCCAGGTAATTTGCTCAGGTTGCACATGTGCTATTAAAAACTAATAAGCTATATTGCTTAAAATAAACAGCAGGAAAATACAAACCCTTACAAATAACTATTAGCCGAATTAAGTGGTTAATTTTATACCACAAACAAATGAGTCAAAGTTCAAATTAATTAGTGATTTTGTTCAATGGTTATCAGTAGAATCTTCTCAAAAGACAGGTTCACAGCTCGTTGATAATTTACTGCATTTCATCATATTAAGGAATATAATATAGCTACTTAACCACTCTATTCATGTAAAATCTTTAACGAAATGAAGTTATAAGCCAAAAAGAAACTTACTCCATCATAGTTTGTTTGATTTAATAAAGTAGGATTAATCTCTAATAGAATTCTACATGCTTCTACATTCTCTTGCATTACTGCATAATGTAAAGCAGTATTTCCTTCATGGCATCTAGATGAATTAATAAGTATCAATAAAGTCTTTTTAATTTTCATAAATTGAAAAAAGTTATCAGTATTTTTGCAGTTTCATTGTTATTAAAAATTATATACTACTGAATAAAGAAACTTAATGGAAAATTAAAAAATAATACAGACAATAATGTTAATTTGGTTGTTTGAAAGTAACTCACTTCGTATTTATGAATTCTAAAAGTCAATTGAAGCTAGACAACCATAGAAAGCCTGGAAGCACTGGACGGCCGTTTCGTCCTAGCATGGGACTCCTCAGCAGTGCACATCCACAATCTCGCTCCCATGAGATTCGAACCCAGGACCTATTGTGAGATATCAGCTCACTGAAGACAATGGTGTACGATGGCGCAATTTCGTGGATCGGTTGAAGTTGGACCTTAACACCGTTGGATGCCGGCCAGCTCAGTGGTCTACTGGTTAAGCGCTCGCGCGCGAAATAGATAGGTCCTGGGTTCAAATCTCGCGGGGGAGGGGATCGTGGATGCGCACTGCTGAGGACTCCCATACTAGGACGAAACGGCCTTCCATTGCTTCCAGGTTTTCTATGGTTGTCTAGCTTCAATCGGCTCATCATTTCAACTAGTGAAATTTCTAAAATCTCCACAAAACCCCTTTTGATAATTCTAAAAGTACTTTGAAAATAACTTTACCCGTAATTTTAAGATCGAAATTCTTGTTTCTTTTCGGTCGAACATTCGCTGCGTGTGTACTACTTGTACGGACAGATATAAGTAGTATATATCAGGAATTAAAACCTTTTCTTGGGTGAAGTAAACAGGAAGCAATCGAAGTAACAACATGGATGAATGACAACTCAAGGATGATGGGCTGATAGGTTATTTAATGTATTGCTTATTACACCACCATAAGGCTAGAAATCATACTATCCGCAATTGTTTATTCCCTTTTTCTGTAGTGTCTAAGATCATTTATTAATCATGCACACAGGTGCATTGCTTACTTATTTTTATTGCTCCTCAGAGACAAAATGAGAATTTTTTGTAAAAGATTAGTCCTCCAAGTACCGATAACAGCTATTAAACAGTGATTGATGTGTTTTCACCTTACAACTAGGCAACTATTTTATAACCCCGTTGTGCTCGTACTATTTGTAGAAAGAATGACCGATCTGCAACATATTAAGGACAGTTATATAATAATGGCTAGACTATAATTTATGGACGGATCAATCAGATTTAGGATAACAGTTATTGGGTTTTGGAGCGAAATTCATCCATTCATTTAGCTAGATAGATTTTTGGTATTATAGTTGATGTCAGTTCGTAATAAAAACACTAGATTAAATTCGTAACCCTAACCATCAACTGTAAATAATAATCCTAATTTCTTACACTGGTTTATAACCCTCATAAGTAGATGGACATTTTTGAGGTCTTTTTAGTGACGCCCAAATATCATCTATAAATTATAGTTTTACTATAATAACTAGTATTTTGCTGACAAAATGTCGATTCAGTCAGGTCAATGATCAAAAGTAAAAGTAAATCATGACTTATTCAAAACATCGATTGGAAAGTGTAAAATTCGTGTTCAATAGAATTTTAACTGTATTAGTCTTGTTATATTATTGAGTATCTTTCGTAGTTTCCAGATTGAATGTTAGATATAGAATTCATATCTTAATTTATGTATTTGATGATATTGACATTAAATATTTCAGTAATAATTGATTTTCTAAACCTGAAACCTTGTAGTTTATTCAGTAGTCTGTTCAAATTCCTTCCGATTTATTTTTTACCTTGGTAAAATTTACCAGCAAATGATAAAATAGTAACACCTGTTCATATTCGTCTTATCATTGCTAGAAGTGGAAATCAGGATGTGCGTTTCACCCTCTTTGGGACTCGTCAGCTGGATGTACCTGTATCTCAAAGTTGATGTTCACTCCGGGACTCGAACCCAGTACCATTGGCTTCACACACCATCGTGTTATCCACTTAGCTACTGAGTCCTGATAGCCACTTGCTTGTGTAATGGGGTGAATTTAAATTGCTTATAAAGCTTGTGAATTAAGATAATATCGAGGCAATGCGCACAGTATGCATATATGCCGATAACAAACTGATCAATTGCAGTCTTAAATGTCAATGGGAATATTCAAGCAAGCAATACCAAGTGAAGTTGTTACTTTATTCTTCTATAAAATGATTACAACCTAAACCAATGCCAAATACTGGATACATCAAACGGAAACATCACAGTTCTTGATACATTTATCTTCTAGTCAAATTTTTGAGAAAAGAATAAAATGGGATTACATTCGGGTTCATACACCCATCGTATAGTAGATGAAGTAAAATGTATAGTAAGTGAATTGACTGAACATTTTTGTGATTAAATATAAATGATAAATAAATACAACTTGACTGTATGTTAAGAGAATATTTTTCTTAAGTATTAACTAATTGATGTTGAGAATTCTTCATTATAAAAAGGTATGTAATAGTCAATTGACCAATTATATATAATCTTTAAGCTAACCTTCGGAATAAGCAACCATTTTTTAAAAAAAGTTCCAATAATTTATCTTGTCCATAATAAGCTGCTATATGCAAAGGTAGACAACCTTTACTATCAGTCATAGATAATGTTCTCATACCACCAATTGTATTCAGTATAATCTGTGATATTCGTAAACGGCCAAATTTAGCTGCCAAATGAAGTGGAGTACATTTATTCTCACCCACAACTGTTACATTTGCACCATATCGTAAAAAGAATAGACAAGTTTCTATAAGACCTAATTTAGTTGCATAATGTAACGGTGTATATCCATAATTGTCTACATCGTTCAATAATTCAGGTAACTCTTTAAGCTAGAAAAAAATGAACAAATTTATTAATTGGAAACATTACAAACTAATTTTAATATGAAAAAGTCTTTCTTCATATATTATTTTCACTTAAAAATCTAATGTGAATTATTTGTATTTAAGTTTTTTAGCTAATATATCCTATCAAGGTTAATCGTTCGCACGTGAGACCGAAGGTCTTGGATTCGAATCCCGCGAGCGGGATCGTGGGTGCGCAATGATGAGGAGCCCCACAATAGGAGGAAACGGCCATCCAGTGCTTCCAGATTTTTAATGGTGGTCTAACACTAATTGGTTCATGATCTCAATCAAAAACTTAATAATCTCCACAACCCAATACTGACAAAATTTCTGAGTTTATCATCTATTATTGTCTAATTGCTTGTTGAATATATCTTGAAGTACTAGTAAGAAGTAGTGGACCATTAAATCAGTCCTTTTGAAATTGATATAGATAAGCACTGATGCCTTTGGATGATAGTTGCATTGTGTAGATTATTTGTCAAATGAAGTTGTAAGGTGTAAACCGAAACACTTCAACCTATCTGTTGAACACTAATATAACTAAAACCTGTACATCTCTGTCTATTTCTATATGAAGTCATTATTGTAGTAAGCTATAGAGTCCCAATACAGGAAAAATGCTTGATTAACGAGTCACTGTTTTTGATGGTTATTCGAATGATGACAGTTCATGATGGCAATTATTACCATATATTTGTTATCATATTCTACTACAATTTTAATTTCATAAATAGGGAGAAATACTAAAGATATCGAAATATTTGGAAAGTGTATTTTAAAAGTGTCATTTTAATGGTGGTCTGAACATCCAGTCTTTTGGTTTAACCACAAAGCTTTGATTGTCCTTATAAACAGCACATTTGGATAAACACTGGTGAAAAATTTCCTAAGAAAAATAACCATTGCTTTATGGATTAATAATTTAGCTGGAATTGTAGTGAAGGCGAACACAGTTGAGGACAGACGATACAGTTATTTGATATAATACGAAATCCATACTTCAATATTTCATATGCAAAATGATCATTAATTGTCTCAGACTTCATTGTTCCTTCATTTCCTTACTGATTACTTTTTGTTCTCGTTCTTTTCTCTTCGATCTTCTCAACCTGCTATCAGGCATTCTATTCCTGATTGGCGTCATATACTACTTATGTCGACATCAGTAATACTTACGATTATTAAAACGCATGGAAATGCAAACAACTTAACTTTTATTTTCCATATTTTATAGTCTGTGAAATAGAATCATTTGTGGTATTTTAGTCATTTTCATAATATACAGCTCTTCATAAAAAAGTGTTATTCTTACACTATGTATGAAGTTGAATATTGAGTTGGAAGGGGTTTCGAAAATGAGAAAATGCTGATTATATAAAAACTAAAAACATAATTGTTTAGTACTCTATGATTTTTGAGATGAACGTACTCAGTTGCGAAAATTACCTTCAAACTGAAATTTCACCAAAAATATATTTATATTATAGGAACAATTGGCTTATTTCATGTTGTAGTATTCCAGGAGAATGTATTCATATACTCTTTTGAAATTGAACTACACGAACCAGGGCTATTGATGAATGCATTTTATTTAAAACCAGCTAGATTGATATTCAGTTGATAATATTTTTAACATTTCATAAATACATTCACTTGGCGTTGTTTGTGTGCATCTTCCTATTTTTATTTAACACTGCGATTGATCACTCTCTTGTTGGCATATGTGCATCCTGTACGTATTGTCTCAATATTACCTTAAGTCACAAGCTTTATAGGGAAAGACGTATAATGGCTAGCAGTGGGATTCAGGATGCACATTTCGTCCTATTTGCAGCTCATCAGCTGGATGTACCTGTATTCCAGAGTTGATGTTAACTCTGAATTTGACTGCTAGTCACTATCTATCTTTTCATAAATACACTTTAAACCGGTGAACTTATGATCAAAGATACTGATACAGAAAGACTTACATTTCTGAACAAAAGTGATCCAGTATGCCATAGAATTTACAATTTATAATAAAAAAATCTTAATAGGTATTTTAAAATTTAATTCGTTGACAAAAAAATAAAATAACTTGTGGTTTTGTACCCTTAGTTCTTTATTTTTTACCCTGTCGCCAATTGTTATAACGCTCGGTTTTACTTCGTCTAATGTTATAACGGTTGGGTTTCCACTTCTACACGTATGGGACATTAATTTACCTTAGACGAATATCTACACTAGATTCCCTCCCACTGTCTATTCTACAAGACTTCAACACAATTCAGATCAACAACATGTGACCAACCTGACCACAACATAAATATATTTCCACACCAAAAACCCGACATAATCCAACAACAATGAACAATCATTAATAAGCGAGTAATAATAATAATAAGGATAAGGGAATATATAACTCAATTGACACCTGTCAGACTATCTACATGTGTGACTAAGCAGACAACTAATCATGATCGTTCACGCCCACACATCAAAAACAAAAAAAGAATAAATTACGTTAGATTAAATAAGCGTAAATGATTACATAATATCAACAGTTGAGATCATGAGTCAATTGAAGCTAGACAACCATGGAAAACCTGCAAGCACTGGACGGCCGTTTCGTCCTAGTGTGGGATGCCTCAGCAGTGCTCATACACTACCCCTAAGCTAGGACATATCAGTCTCGCACCAGGCGCTTAACCAACTAGACCACTGAGCCGGTCGGCATCCAAAGATGTTAATGTCTAACTTCAACTAATCCACCAAATTGAGCGACACATCCACCATTGTCATAATTGAGTTACTACCTCACAACTGACCCGGTTGAACTCCACTGTTCACTGCTTCTCACTACAACTCCAGGATATATCTCTTGAAGCCAGTCACTAGTGATTCATATCTGAAGGGGTTTTGTGGAGATTGTAGTAATTTCAACAATTGAGATCATGAGTCAATTGAAGCTAGACCACCATGGATGCGCATTGCTGAGGAGTCCCATACCAGGACGAAACGGTCATCCAGCGCTTCTAGGTTTTCCATGGTTTTCTAGCTTCAATTGACTCATGATCTCAACTGTTGAAATTACTACAAGCTCCACAAAACCCCTTCTGATATTACATAATAATCATAATTGAATTAAAGCATAATTAATTAATCAATCAATTGAATATCTTACATTTTTTATTATTTCAATTGAATTACATATTTCATCTGAACAACTTAAAACAATTAAGTGAAATAAATTTCTTTGTCTTATATCATGATGTTTAATTATAATGTTTTTATTTAATAAATAATCAATTACATTAATTGAACCTTTAATAGCAGCTGACATTATTGGTGTATAACCATTTATATCTTGTTGATTAATATTTGATCCCTATATTTAATGAATAAAAAGAAAAATCAAAAATCAATAAGTTGTGAACAAGATCAATAAATGAATATTTTTCTTTTTTTTCGTTTTTTTATGGTAAATTTTCTAATATTTTATCAATATATTGCTATTCAGAATTAGTTAGATTACCATTATGCAACATAATTCATTACAATTGGTCTTGTATATCTCAAGATCATGGATTTAATATAACTATTATACTAAAAGACATATGATCTAAATGTTTAGTATTCAGTGATTCATCCCTTTATGAATGTATTTATGATGTTCCAATAAGAAATTGAAACTTACAATATGGTGCGCCACAATTAAGATTACCCCTCTCTCTCTCTCTCTCTAATTATTTTAGTTAATTATAGTCAATCGATAAGTAACCTTGTAAGCTCCACGATAGTTGTTACTTAACAGTAATGATATATGTAAAATATATCGAAACAACTCTCAATTCTTATAGGAATACCTGGTTTTACAATGAGAGATTTTAACGGTAACGGTAAGGAAATCTAATTACGTTGTTAGTTTAAAATACAAAGTAGTAAACTGGTAGAATATTTGACATTTTCAACCATTTTTAACTGAATAATCTATTTGATTAGCTAGAATATTTATTGTAATAAATTCTTTCATTGATTGTGAGTTCATTCAGTCTGGTAGTAGTAACAATAATAACACTAATCTTGCAAAACTCATGGAATAACCATTGCCTTTTATTACCCACTTTGTAAGTATAAGTTGTACCACATATTTCTCAGTATGTCAAATTCCCTTCAACAAGTCACTAATATCTTCCTATGTATCTCTTAGAAGCTGAAACGAAATCATTAGAGTTGATGACTTTCAAAATATTCATCGGATTGATTCGTTGTATGATTAATTTATACCAATGAAAATCATTTTTCAAACTGAAATGATTAGTTTAAATAGTTTTTTTTCATCAAACGATCAGTTTGTGTTAATTTATCATCTTCATTTCACTCATTAAACCAATGGATACTGTCTAACAATAATGTTAAGAATGAACAAAGAAAAGTAGTATGTTAAAGAAGTACGGAAATAATTACCAAACTTATTAAATAATCTACCATATCAACAAAATTGTGTTTGGCTGCTAAATGTAGACACGTTTCTTGATTTTCATTGGAACAATGAATTAATTTGGTTTGTTCTTCAAGTGAGATGTTTTTAATGATTGCCTTTACACATTCTAGATCACCTCGTAGTGCAGCATAATGAAGTACTGTTTGACCATTTTGATCTTTAGCTAGTACATCTGGGTTATATTGAAGGCATATCTATTATTATGAATTAAAACAAGAAAGAATTATTTTCAAAATTGTGGTAATTAAATGATTTTGTGCAGAAATTTGTATAAGTTTGAAGATGGTTTTGATTACAAGATGAAGTCAACTAAAGAAGTGTAGCCAGCACTTAAGAGCTATTTCGTCCTACATATGTATTCCTTAAAAATGTAAATGACTAATTTGAGAAAAGCATAGAATCTAAGTTTGTTAGCTCTCGTAAAATATACCAAACCTTAAAGCAGATGAGTCACTAGTTCGTAATGTTTCTATAGCTGATGCCTGTTTGAAATGAAAATAGAATTGAAAATATTTGAAGTTCTGTACATAATTACCTAAAGTACTGGAATTTCAAAGTTACATGGAAGGCTTGCAAAGACAATAACAATAGTGTTATATCACTTAATTATGAATAATAACTAAACTTTACCATGACAACATAAAGCATACCAATCTTTTCCCTAACGAATTGATAAAGAAGTGGTTTGTAGGTGATTTCCTTCATGGAATGATGTCGACTGGTGTATCGTTGAATTTCAGAGAGTTCCAGTATAGAACTTCTTATCAGCGCTTATCCACGGGTTCATTGAGGAGGAAATCCAGGACATTGAGATTTCAAGGTGAGCTCATTACTCTAAGGCCACTGAATCAAAATCTAACTACATGTTACAAAAATGTCATGCTTTAACGTTACAGAAATTTTACAAAATATGGTACTTAAAATTATACTTACATTCAACAATTCAATCGATCCTGAACTAGCTGCCGCATGAATCGGTGCAAGACCTTCACCATCACGTAAATGGATCAACTGTTGTTTCTTGAACGGCTTTCTCATTCTCTGATTAAGTTTTTCTTGTCTCATTTCCAATTCAAATGAATTTGTTAAATTTTTAGATCCTGAATTAAATTTATTTGAACTTGTCGAATATTTACGACTGAATACTGAAATAGATTTATGGTTCTCTGTGTTAGTAATCATAGAATTAATAATCTGACAAGAAGGTTCTGTTATTGTTGTCGTTGGCTCATTACGTGCTTGCATATCATATTGATTATAATCCAAAAGAATTTTAAGGCATTGTAAACTTGATTGGGAAATCGCTTCATGAATTGGATATTTTCCTAAAGCATCTGTCTGGTATATATTCCCACCAGCTTGTATCTGGTTGACAGAAAAGAAGACAAAAACTGATAGTATTTAGCTATGAATTTAACGATTTCCTATAATTACTTAAGGGATTATTTCCATGAGGAATCACTCTTATATTCAAGTTATTTTGTAAGATGTATATGGTCAATTCACTTCATACACAAAACAAGCTACTGAGGTTTTAAAGAAAATTGGGAAACAATTTTTGGATATTCACGAAACGTTGATGGTTGTTTATGGAGATAACGCGTTAGATAAGGTAGATGTTTCCCAGTGGATCAAGGGTCTTATTGACAACAAGAATGGTGCGAGGCCAGGATGACTGTAAACCTCCTATGTTGGTAAATAAATTTAACATATGCTATCTCTTTTTTTATATTTATATGCTATCTCTTGTTCATTCTTATTACCATTTTACTGCTCAGATCAATGCCGATGAACAAAACTTAGGAAATATGGTCTATAGATCCAATTATGAAAAACCTCACACTTCAAGGCTTTTATCTATGTTTTGAACAATGGGAATGCGGATGGCTAGAGTTTATCGCCACAGATGGGGGACCTTTCAATGTTGACAAAATCGATTCATCTTAAATTTGATGCACTTAAGCTTTTGTGACCATAGTTTGTAGATTTATTTGAAAATCTTCCCATAAAATGTGTCAACAACGTTGATTTACAATACTGTCTGAATTTTGCAATGGAGCGGAATTTAATCATGAAGTATGTTTCATATACTGTATTTTGAAGAACCTAACACAGCTGAAAGAAGCTTACGTTATAACTCATATGTCGACAGAGTTTTGCTCTGCAATTCTAGGTCTTTCTCTAATTGAAACGTGTCAGGAAGCGTAGTTTCAAAGAAAAATAGATGAAACGCATATTCACCTAAGATAAAGACAGTCTAAAGTATTTGATGTGATCGAGTATAATGTAATTGCTTTTATACTTCGAAAACAAAAAAACTATAGTCATAGTTCTCAGTGTTCCATAGACAACTTTTGTTCAGACTGAGTCAATCGTCTGTCGATCGAAACAATCGTACAGTAGTGAATAATTTCTAACATAATTGTAATATGAAAGTTAAAAAGTCGAGGTATTAAGTTTTTTGGTAATTTCTTCGAATTTTAGACCTTTACCTTTGATGTTTCACCCTGAGTAACATGAGAAGTTAATTTCGGAGTATAACATAGACTACTGTTTGAACAATAAACTGTATTATTTTACATGTAGTGATTATTTGTTTTAAAATTTCTTACCAACATTTGTAAACATGCAGCACTATCATTAAAACAACAATAATGAACTGGTGTTGCACCTTGTTCATCAGGTGTATTGGCATCTACTGCAATTTCAAGCAGAAGCTAAAATATATTAATCAAAGAAGTATGCATGTATATATGTATTATGAGAAAATAAAACTTTGTTCAAAAAATAACTTATTTACAATATATGGAATGGGGTTAGCGGTAGGATCTAGGACTCACGTTTCATCCTGAGCGGGACTCGTCAGCTGAATGTACCTGGATCCCATAGATGATGTTCACTCCTGGATTCAAACCCAGTTCAGTTCACTTCAAACACGATTGTATTATCCACTTAGCTACTGAGTTCAGATAGTCACTCATTTGTGGAACGCATGTAAAATTCAACCCAATTTGAAATGGATCAGACTGTCTCTTCGCTGATATTTTTGACTAAAATTCGATCAGTCTTGGTTGGGATTTGAGTAACCAGTACAGGTATATCCGGTAAATGAGTTCAGAATTAAATGAAACTAGTGTCCTGGATTCCATTCCCAGCCACACCCCATCAATTATATATCGACTGGTGTCATAATGACTATATCAAGCAATTTGGGCAGGTCGACCACATGCTAATCAGGACTGACCAAATTTTGATCAAAAATATTAACGACAAGATAATACGAACGATTCCAAATTGGATTAAACAACTTATATGTTAAATGATACAATGCTATTTCACTGTTATGTAGGTTAGTTCTGAATGAAATTTAACATTTAGAATTATTTCCCGGTTTAAGGATCTTCGTCAATAGCTTAGATTATGTTAGCAGTTGCAATTTGATAAGTATGTACTATATTTTATTCAAAGGAACAACTTTCTATGGCATACAACTGGATTGGTCATGAGACTAACATTGATTGCTTTTTTAATATAGATGCATTTAAGTAAAGTACATACTGTCACAAGGTTGTAATTTTTTTGTTAGCTAACTGTAGGTTGTTTTTCATAGTTAATGTTATGAATCCTGTTACTTCACTGTACAGATTTATTAGTGACATTCATTTTTATCTTTGATTCATTATTTGTAACATATTGTTACCATATAGAATGTAGCCTCAATTCTCTCATTTATATTCATTCAGTTAGGCAGTGTGTTTGACTATTGGTAGCTAGGCAGTTAGGACTTGGAGATTAGTATATTGAAGAAAATATCATTTAGATTGTTCGATTTATTCCGTTATTTTACTAAAACAATGTTCCTATCATAATAATGTCTAGATCAATACTTATGCACGGGATACTGATAAAGTACGTACATTAAGTGATAGTTAGTTCTATGTTCTTTTTGTCTTACAGTACTACTCTACAAAAAATTAGGTATTTATGTCACTTATGGGTCCATCCAAAATTTACTATCTACTTACTTCTAATCCTTCTACAAAATCCGCTTCACATGCTAGATGTATAGCTTGTGCACCTAGTCGGTTTTTTGCATCCACTTTGGCGCCAAAATCAATTAACAATTGAAGTATTTGTACGTGTTTTCTCGAGACTGCTGAGTGTATAGGTTGATTTCCCAATTCATCGATATAATTTGGATCTAATAAAAAATACAATATATGAAAACAGTGTTATATTAATTTCAGACAGATAGAACATTCTACTTACCAGTTATCTGTTTACTATCATAGAAATGACGTTAACATGATGGTCACTATCGGGGTATACAGTTCGATACAACATTGCTAGAGTTTTTCTATCATTATTATTTATGTTCAAATCTAGAATAAATGGTTAATTTTTGATTGCCGTAAAATCGAATGAGTTTTAGAATAGTGAACGGAGACTACAGTGCGGAAAAGCAATTCATTGTTCATTGTAGAATTACACAGTAATTTTATAAAATATGGAAATCATACGTTAAATGCATTATTTGCAATTGTTTCATCACTTGTTCTTGACACACTTTATGATTCTTCCAATTTTAATTTTATTCAAATTGCTCTCTGTTTCACTTGTTGTTCTCTTCAATTCAATCTTCTGCTGTCAGGCATTTTACTTCAGATTACTGCCACGTACTACTCAAATCTGTCAACATAAGTAGTATGCACCGCACTAGTAGTAGTAATCGTAGTGGAAATCTTAAAGTAAACTTAATAGAATGTATTTGTAATATATTACTCTACGCTTGAAAACGAAATGTCAGGGACTTAGACTGCAGGATCATTGTCTATGGGTTCCTTAGTTTCAAGGCGTAAATATGTATGCTTTATGAGTTCCGAGAAAAGAGTATGTTGGAAGTAGGCTTATGATTTTTGTTAGATGAGATTGCTTGTTGTATGTTTGGCTTGTCCAGTCACACGGTAATTTATTCACACCGGGCCCCATTAGATTGATATTTTCTGTGATTGAATGTAGGTACAGGCGTAACTGAGGAGATCTGTTGTCCGGAAGAGCTAGATTTTCTACGGACCATATTAAGAGATGTATGGCTTCGTTTGCACCGTTTCTGACGAGCAATATGGTGAAACAAGTATGAATACCACAGACAACTGTTAATGCACGGCACAGTGTTAGGGATAAAGTAAGAAAAGAATTGAGATAGGGTTGGTTTAGACACCCATTTGAGCATCCATTTTGTGTGTTCCTTACTGAATATTTTGAACACCTCAAATCCTAATGACAGTGTAGTGGACAAGAACACGAATGGGGACAATCGAATGTATTTAATACAAAATTACAGGACTTGTTAATAAAATCTAACAATCATAAGGTAAATGCCTAATTTGCAAAATGTCCACCAATTGTCTCAAAATGACTCAAACTTCATTGTTCCTGCATTTTCATACAACTTGCATTCTGTTTCCATTATTTACTGTTCGATCCTCTTGTCTCTCTGCTGTCAGACCTTCTGTTCACGACTAACATCATGTACTACTTATATCAGTATAAGTAGCACATACCACAAAGTGGCTTACTGTTATTCTTTTAGTAAAATATTATTCTCATAATTTGATCATTTAATTATGGTGCTTTTATAGTCTTTTTGGACAATATCATCAATCCCTTCTTAAAATGGAAGCGAGCATTATAAAATTATCCTACAAACATCAAACCATTCTATCTTAATAAGCTTATTTGCAAATAATCAATCTTAGAAGGGGTTTTTTGTAGATTGTGTTAATTTCAATAGTTGAGGTCGTGAGTCAGTTGAAGCTAGATCACCATGGGAAACGTGGAAGAACTGGACGGTCGTTTCCTCCTACTAAGAGACTCCTCAGCAGTGTGCATCCACGATCCGGCATCCAACGGGTTTAATGTCTAGCTTCAACTAATCCACGAAATTGAGCGGCACATCCACCATTGTCATCAGTGAGTTAATCTACAATTAACAGACTTATTCAGTGAGATCCGATTTGTCAACCTATAAGAACAAAATCAACCAATCACATGACCTGAGGATAACCTACTAAAGTAGTCAGGGTATTTAAAAATCACAAAGTATTCCTGGATCATCTGTCAAAACAAATTTGTAACTACGAACCTTAGTTTTCATGTACAATAAGCTCGTGACTACTAATTTGTAATCTTTCTGTTTAGTTTTTGAAAGAATCGCTGGTTTCATATGAATACCAATACATTTTACTAAAGCCTACCAAATGTTTATATTTCACTCCAATTGGCCGGGCGTGTGTTCATCATATATCTACACAATCTGAACCCCAAAAAATCTAAAAGTGAAAGCCCTTCTCACTCAGTGTAACATAATTTTGGATGAACTGTTGTGGTGTGTGCTACTTATACTGATATAAGTAGTACATGATGTTAGTCGTGAACAGAAGGTCTGACAGCAGAGAGACAAGAGGATCGAACAGTAAATAATGGAAACAGAATGCAAGTTGTATGAAAATGCAGGAACAATGAAGTCTGAGTCATTTTGAGACAATTGGTGGACATTTTGCAAATTAGGCATTTACCTTATGATTGTTAGATTTTATTAACAAGTCCTGTAATTTTGTGTCAAATACATTCGATTGTCCCCATTCGTATTCTGTTCACTACAATTTGTCAAGAATTCATTGCTTGGTGTAAAAACAATGATATTTGCATTGGACATTCTATAGGTTACACTTCTGATTAAATTGTTCTACTTCATGGATAAAGGTAGCATTAACTTATTTCCGGTAGTTGGAATTGTATACTAACATTGACTAATAGCATGTTTGTAATCAAGTTTATGTACCTACTGGGAGACCATCTTCAATTATTCAAAGCTGATTCACCTTAAATTAACTGTGATTATACTGTTTTTATTTTAAAAGAAATAAAGCCACTAATGCATTTGCTTATTGCACAATATGTGGTATTACTCATTCAAGTTTGAAGAATTAAGCGTGAGAAATGATGAAACGAATAAAATGTTATCTACGTGATAAGTGCTCATAGGTTTTCAATGGTGGTCTAGTTTAGATCAGCCCATGAATTCAACTGTTACAATCACTACAATCTCCACAAATCCTTATTCCGATAATAATTATGTGTTCACTAGTGACTAGTTTCGAGAGGTCATTCTCGGAGTTCTAGTGAGAAGCCGTAAACATTGGAGCTAATCCGTATCGGAGTGAGACAGATACTCACTGAAGACAATCGAAGATGGTCGCTCAGTCTCATAGATTGGTTGAAGATAAACATTAGCAAACACTTACATCGTTGAATGCAAGCTCAGTGGTCTAGATAATAAGCATTCGTGCGCGAGACTGAATGTCGTGGATGTGCACTGTTGTGGAGTACCATAATAGGACGAAACGGCCGTCCAATGTTCCTAAGTCTTCAACTCTGGTCTAGCTTAGATCGACTCATGAATTCAACTATTAATATTGATCAGTATTTGCTGCACTTCTACAATAGATTATACGCTCATGGTAACTTTATAAACTGATGAAATGTAAGTTCTAGAAGTAATTTTCATATCATTTGTTCTAATATAAACATGTTTAAATAAAAAGGTTAACTTATTGTTTACTAACTGGTATTATAAACAACGTATTTTTAATTGGTGATGAATAAAGTTAATGTATCTCAATGACTTCAGACTGAGTGTTTAAAGAAAGATTTAAATAAAACATACTAATTACAATTGTATTTGTCAATAAAACAATATTGTATCTTTGATTTCTCCTAAATATCAATAAACCAAATGAGTTAAAATGTCTAAATTTCACGTTGGCCTACTCAATTCAATTATTCTTTATCAGTATAGGGGTTGTGAAGATTATTAAGTTTTTGATTGATGTTAGACCACCGGTGGAAATCTGGAAGCACTGAACGGCCGTTTCGTCCTGTTGTGGGACTTCTCAGTAGTGTGCATCCACGATCCGGCTCGCGGAATTCAAACCCAGGACATTCAGTCTCGCGCGCGAAACCTCAACCTACTGGACCACTGAGCCGGCATCCAGCGGTGTTAATGTCTAACCTCAACCAATCCACAAAATTGCGCGACCATCTTCCATTGTACTGAGGTAGATACCTGTCTCTACCCGACACGAATTAGCCCCACTATTTACGGCTTCTCACTCGAACTTTGAGAATCCCTTCACGAAACTAGTCACTAGTGGGCACATATTAATTATCAGTATAAGGGTTATGGAGATTATTAAGTTTTTGTTTAAGATCATGAACCAGTATTTTAAGCGTTAGCGCGCGAGACTGAATGTCCTGGGTTCGAATACCGCGAACGGGATCGCTGATACGCACTACTGAGAAGTCCCACAACAGGATGAAACGGCCGTCTAGTGCTTCCAGGTTTCCAACGGTGGTCTAACATCATTCGGTTCATGATCTCAATCACAAACTCAATTATTCATCTAGTTATGATATTCATTACAGTTAAAGTGTTGACAAGTTATTATCATAAACAAAGTCTTGAAAAAAAAGACAAATAAAGCTAAGATCATTAATAGAATAAAGTAACAAGTTTACTTGTAACAGTTTGGAATTTATTAAAGATATTTAAACAATATCAAATGAAGTACTTAGTTAAATTAATGATTATAACAATTAAGTAATATAGAATAGAATCTATTCTACCTGCTCCATTATTTAATAACCATTTGACTAAATCTGTATATCCATATTCCATTGAATAATGTAACATTCTATTAGTCACATTGTCAAATGAATTTAAAGGGATTGAATCATTTTGGATTGTATAGATAATATCTTCATACTGAAGTATCAAGTATAGGGATAACAACGACAACAACGAAAAAAACAAGGAAAAGAAAAAGAAAGCGTTTATGAAAAAGAAGTATTTTTAAAGTAAAATAAATAGAAATTTATCGAATGTTTACGGTTATACTCTATTCATATTTACCTATGATGTTACACTTTGTTTATTAAATAGGAATCAGTACCAATGAGAAAACAACTATTTAGAGCCTTCAAAATTGTGTTAAGGTATGAATGTTGTAAGAACGAAAAACTGTCAGATAAATGAGTTTTCATGATACTTTAAAAGATAACTATAATTCACAATGAAGATGATTACTTTCAGTGAATAATTATCAAGTAGCAATCTGTCTACTGTATGTTCAATCCGTATTAATAAAAGAGTTCTATGTATCAATTCACGTTGCAACTACCAGTCTAAGTGACTTGACAATGTTTACACTATATTTGAATAGTAGATGGTTGAAGATAATCAATAGAGAATTGTGATTTTCATCAATAAGGTGTAACTGTGATCTTGAAGAAAATGATGTTTTATACAAGTTTCAAACTTACATCACTAAATTTCTTATTCACAAACTTTATCATCAAATTGTTCTGCCTAAAAGTAATCTCTTCAGTAAGAGTAAGAAGCTTTTGATATATTCCTTGAGATATCACTAGAAAATACTTACTTATGTCAAGGCGTTTACTACTAATTATGGGTCAAGTAACTTAAGAATGTTATATTTCCTAAATGGTGTTTTAATATAACTCAACATTTATGTTATTAACTCATTCAATGTCAAGGCAGAAATATAATTACATTGACTTTAATACCAATTATCACTTGTCAATAAAAATAGACTAACAAAAAGGATAAATTTCAATTAATTCATTTAACTTAACTAATCAACATCATAGTAGTGATATAATCAACTCAATTATATGAATAAAATAGATGGGAAAAGAATATTATCCATTTACAGTATATGAAGTATTTTCTATATTACTCAACGAAATCATCATAGATAACTAGACTTGTTAGAGAGTATTCAATAATTATATCGTTTTTTTTAAAACATAAAACTAGTCCCCTCTGATTTAGTTCATTACTAGTCTGATATAAAGTTATATAATGAATGAAAACATTTAAAGAGACTACTTTTTTTCATAACACAAATGCATCATAAGCAAAGATGGATAGTGGCTAGCAGTGGAATCCAGGACGCGCGTTTCGTCTTGTTTGGGACTCGTCAGCTGGATGTACCTGCATCTCAGAGTTGATGTTCACTCCAGGACTCGAACTCAGTACCGTTCGCTTCAAACACCATCGCACAGTATACACATATGCCAATAACAGACTGGTCAATTTCAGTTCTAAAACATCAATGGGAAGATTCAAGTACAACAATATCAAGTGAACAAATGCATCATAGTTTGTCAAGCACAGATTTATGGAATGTGGAGTCGAATCTCGTGACCTTCATGGATGTAAGAATATATTCCCAGTACGAATATTACCAATATTACAATATTCATTGATTGGTAACAGTCTAAAGTTTGATATTTAGAAAAGTCTCATTGATCAGTATTATGCTTACAAATAAATGAATTAATTAAATTCACTTGGTATTGTTCATTTGAATCTTCCCATCGATGTTTAGGACTGTAATTGATCAATCTCTTATTGACATATGTGTATACTTTGTGTATTGCAATGATATTGCACATATTTCAATAAGAGACTGATCAACTGAAGTCCTAAATATCAATGGGAAGATTCGAGTGAACAATACCAAGTGAATTTAGACTTCATCGCATTGCTCAAGCAAGTGGCTGTAAGGACTTATTAGTTAAGTGCATAACGTGATGGCGTTTGAAACGAACGGTACTGGGTTCGAGTCCTGGGGCGGAAATCAACTCTGAGATGCAGGCACATCCATCCGACGGGTCCGGAATTCGACGAAACGCGTGTCCTGGATTTCTCTGCTAGTCATTATCCGTCATTGTTTATAATGAATTAATTAATTTATACTTTTCAATACAATTCAGTTTGTATAAATAATACCAATAAAACTACCAGAATTAACACATGAGAAAATGATGTGAACAGAGAAACAAAGGAGCCATAACAAACAACTGAAGCTATTTTCGGGGATGATGTTTCACTTGATTCAAAGCTTGTAAAACGTCGACATTTAGGTTTGTCCCTAGTTTATTCTATAAACCATAAGCTTTCGTTTGATGCATGATTCATTGTCATACCCCTTTTTGTTTCAAGGTTATTGTAATTTAAACGTAATCTTTCGTACTTTATTTTCTACACTAATCTCCAGTTTCGGACAATTGTATTTTCCTAATTGTTTGTGCGTTGTAGTTATGTTAGTCATCTATTTATTCATATATCTTTTTATACCAATCTGAATCAGTGTAATCGGAGTTGGAATCGGAATAGGGAGTAAGTCGAGGAGTGTTCCAGCTGACACGTCTTCTCTCTCTTGCTTGTCAACCAATCAAGTGATAGAAACGTTTTCGTCTCTTTACCCAAGGCAGGTAGTCTCGATTCGGATTCACTCGTCTCAAGCCTCAAGGTTAAATCAGTTAGCCTATCATTCAAGGACTTAATCCAGATAGAGACAAGTTCTCTCCTGTATATTATCTAGTAGATAGATCAAGTACGTGACAAAAAATTAAGAATATACACGAATATGTAAACTTTTTCTTAGTTGTCTTCAACGAAAAAGAGACGTCAAAATTCAATAGTTTATAAGATACGAAATAAAGTTAAAAGAAATATCAGTCGGGTTTCCGCTAACCTTAGACAATTCATTATCTTTTAAATATTTCAAACTTTGCAGTCGATCATCACTAGTCAGTTGGATTTCTGGAATATTTGAATTAACTAGGTCAGTTATCCTTCCATTCGGATCTGTCGTAGAAATTGTGGTTAGTTTTGTAGAGTTTCGCTTTGAATTCAAGGATGATCTTAATTTATTTAAAAAATTGTAGAAATGATCTTGAAATTTGTAAATTTTCAATTCTTCCGGAATAATGTTCAGATAAGAGTAGTTAGTTGTTTTTGATTCAATATAATCAAACCAATTGTTTTTACTTGATGAAATCATCGATTTATTGGTAAAACTGTGCTAAAGAGAAAAAAATTCAATACAGTTTCATTTGAGATGTTATATTTGCTCATACAGTTTATGAAATTACAAAATGACTGTCATCGCGAACTTGAAGGTTTAGTGGCCCAATATCTGACTCCAATTGGATTGTATGCTGATTGTCATCGAAATATACATGTCGGCTATCCTCGTATAAAACTATCGACTTAATCTGCCTTATTGTATAAAGGAATTAAATAAGTCGAATACGAGAATGGATTTTTGAATTCGTATATTTCGTACAATTGTTGGTCGAGACAAACGATTGAAGAAACGAGGCGGAGAGAAGAAATCGAAACAAAATGACACGCAGTGGAGAAGGCGTGTGAGCCAACTGTGAGTTTAGTTGGAAGACGGGCTCACCACTTTAGTGACCCTGAATCTGACCTAATTAGATCGTACGTTTGATTGGCATTGAAATATGCATATCATCAAACCTCGTATATTATTACCGACTTAGATCGCGTTAGTGATTTTCGAGTACATATATTTTGTACACTCATTGACCTGTGCAGGCAGTCAAAGGGCCGAAACAAAGGAAGCAAAGAAGAGAGAGCGAAGCGAAATGTGGAGTTGGCTTACCAGCTATCAGTTACTTTATCCTAGTTTAGTATCCCCAGCTTTTGACATACCACTCTGAATAAAATCAAAAATGTTAAACTCTGAATTTCTTAAACAGAACGATGATTTTATATCATTAAATCCAGTAATTTATATTTTTAACTTAATCCAATATTTCCCTAAGTAAGATTTGTGAATCTCGTATTAGCTGACATTGTTGTCAAGTCTTGCTGGTTCATAAATTAGAATTAGTGTTTTTAATGGTGACAAATCATTAATAAATGACTAGTTGCTATATTTATACGCTGTGAAAAACATCCTCTTTAGTACAGTAAAATATTTAGATTAAGGACGAAGCGTCGCGTAACATAGTCATTGGCTGTGTTTCTTATTTATCGTTTAAAGATTAGGAACTTCTATTTTTTAAATCAATTTCCCCACTTGTCAATTAAAACTAACTAAAACTCAAATAAAACGGAATCTGTAATGATAAAATCATATTATCAATTATCTAGGTGCTTCCAGGTTAGTCTAGCTTTAATCGACTGATGAATTCAAACATTAAAGTATTACAATTTCTACAAACCCTTATTCTGACAATAAACATCATGTGCTTACTAGAGAGTGGCTTCAAGATGTGCTAGCTGAAGTTCTAGTGAGTAGACGTGGCCAATGAAGTTCAACCGTGTCTGTTGTGAGTCAGTTACTAACTGAAAACAATGATGGACGGTGGCGCAAAATCTTGGATTGGTTGAAGTTAGACAACAACACGAGAATGGTGACAGGTTTGCAAATTTATGTGAATTCAACGAAATGGTTATAGGCGGCATTATATTCTTCAGCAAATGCATTAAAAAAACTAAATGGGTCTCACCGAACCATACTCTAGAGAACCAGATCAATCATATTTGCATCAGTAAAAAAATCAGATTAATGGAAGACGTGTTAACAAAAAGAGGAGCTGACGTAGCTTCTGATAACCGCCTGGCTATGGTCAAGATGAAACTGAAGCTGAAGAAACACTAGACAACTAAAGAAAAGCATTAAAAAGGTTCAAAACACTCAATAAATTTACACTAACAGATTCTAAGCCTTACAAGATCTACTCGGAGTGAGAGAAGCTAATACGGCGAACAACTGGAAAGGACTTGGAGGAGCATTGATTTCGACATGCCAGAATGTTCTGGGCCAAAAAACACCATCATAAAGAAAGAATCGCTATCGAAACACTGCAAAAGTTTCAAGAAAGCAGGAACCAGAAGACGGCAATTAAAAACAGCCGAACAAGAACACAGAAAGTCAAGGAACAAGCTGGATACACAGAAGCAAACAAGCAAACGAAGAAGTGCATTAGAGATGACAGGCAGAAATGCGTGGAAGAACTAGCAGCGATAGAGGAAAAAGCTTCAAGAGAGGGAAATATGAGACCGTATTATGACAAAACGAAGAAACTTGCAGAGAAATATGGTAAACCAGAGATACCAATCAAGAATAAAGAAGGCAGGCCAATCACTGAAATTCAACAACAGCGGAACAGATGGGTAGGGTACTTCCAGGAACTCCTGAATAGACCAGCTTCATTGAATCCACCGGATATCAAAGTGGCACCTACAGACCTTCCAACAGATTTCACTCCACCAACGATAGAATAAATCGCCATGACTGTCAGACAAATCAAGAGTAGGAAAGCAGGACCTGACAATATATCAGCCGAAGCATTAAATTTAGACATGGCAGTAATAGCAGTCACGCTTCACTTTCTATTCAGGAAGATTTGGGGGGAAGAACAAGTGTCGATGGACTGGAAAGAAGGACACCTCATCAAGATTCCGAAGAAAGGAGATCTGGGCAAATGTGAGAACTATAGAGGCATCACGCTACTATAGAAACCGTTACTCTAAATAAATTTCCTTGACTATGAGAAAGCATTCGAAAGTGTAGATAGAGGGACTTTATGGGAACTCCTACGAAACTCTGGTTCATCTTAGAAGATCATCAACGTCATCCGGAATTCATACGATGAACTACAGTGCAAAGTTGTGTATGGAGGACAGCTGACAAATGCATTCCGAGTGAGTAACGGAATCAGACAAGGTTGTCTACTCTCCCCTTTCCTCTTTCTTCTGATGATCGACTGGATTCTGAAGACCTCGATATCTGAGGGAAAACACGGCATACAATGAACAACTCGGAATCAGTTAAAAGATTTGGACTTCGTAGATGACCTAGCCCTCCTATCGCATGCACACGAACAAATTCAGATGAAGACTACTAGTGTAGCAGCAGCCTCTCTATCAGTAAGCTTCAGCACACACAACGGCGAAAACAAGATTCTGAAATGCAACACAAAGATCAATACCGTCACACCTGATAGTGAAGCTCTACAAGAGGTGGGTAAACAGAGAGGTTCTGGTGCAAATGTAAAGGCAGAGATTGGCAATGCAAGATGAGCATTCCTATTATTGAAGCAAAACTGCGAGTCAACATCAAAGTCATAATCTATATGGAGATTTAAAGACAGTTCTATTGTACATAGCTGAAACCTAGAGGACCATAATCAAAAACGTACAGGTATTTATAAGCAGTTATTTACAAAATAGGGGAAGACATTAGAGGTGAATAGGATATACATTGCGGAAACCACCAAACTTCATCACGAAGCAAGCGGTAACTTGGAATCCCAAACGTAAAAGGACCGGAGGAAGACCAAGGAACATAATGCTCTGAGAATTAGAGACAGACACGAGGAGAATGAATAGCAACTAGAAACAAGTGGAAGGGATTGACCAGGACAGAGTTCAATGGAGGATCCTGGTGGGTAGCCTATGCTCGTCCAAGAGTCGTAAGAGGCGTAAGGAAGTAAATTAAATAGGCCAAACTGTTAACTGACGTGTACTCTTTATATTAATGATTATCCGTCGGCATGCTAGTTTCACAAAGTTTTCTTATAGAAGTGTGGTGAGTATTCATTGTTAATGTTAAGAATCAGTCATACTATTTATGACTGCAATCATTGATTAGTTAATAAAATTTTAGATTCGTTATTTCAACTGTTAGATTACTACAATCCGCCATACTAATATGAATCATCTGCTCAATAGTGATTAGCTTCAAGCTATAACTCCTAGGGTTTTCGTTAGAAGGGATGACCAGTGGAGTTCAATCCAATATAATGTGTGAGACAGTTATCTACTGCAGGCAATGAATTACAAGTAAGCAATAACATGTACTGTTTGACGTTAAAAATTAACACCGTTTGGTGCCATCTGAGTGGTCTAGAGGTCAACCGTTTGGATGCGAGACCAAAGGTTTTTGGTTCAGTCACGACGTACGGGACCATGGGTGCGCTTATGAGGGGTCTCGTACTATGACAAAATATCCGTCAAGAGATTCCAGGTTTTCAATTATGGGCTAGCTAGGATCAGTTCGTAAATTCATCTGGGACGATACTACATTCTTCACAAATCTCCATATATTAAAATCCCTGGATCATTTATTATTATTTTTCGGCGCCACATCTTCCAAAGTAGATGATTTGATGGCAGATAATTGATTGCCTATCTTGACAACAGTATTAATTTAAATTTACGATAATATTCAGTTTTAACTAAAAGAGCTAAACATATACAATATCATATTCTATGTTTTATTACATTCTGCACAACTTACGTTCCAGTTAATCAATCCTGTAAAATTACAAAGTAGACTCTATTTTAATTTGAAAAACAAATGAAAACATTTTAATTTCTTTTCATTGGTTATTAAAGATTTATGCTTATGATTGGTGAATATTAGAAGCGTAAAATTATTGAATGAATTAATTAATGATTTTATTTAATAGTTGAATTCATGAGTCAATTGAAGTTAGTCCACCACCGAAAACCTGGAAGCACTGGACAGCAGTTTCGTCCTAGTATGGGACTCCTCAGAAATGCACATCCACGACCTCCCCTCGCAAGATTCGAGCCCAGGATCTATCGGTCTCTTACGCAAACGTCTAACCTCTAGACCACTGAGCTGGCATGTTTAACTTTAACCAATCCAAGAAATTGTGCCACCGTCCACCATTGTCGTCGGTGAGTTACTATCTCATAATAGACCCGAACGAACTCCACTGGTCACGGCTTCTTACTGGAACACCAGGAAATACCACTTGGAGACCATCACCAGTGAGCATATGGTGATTATAATCAGTGAGGGGTTTCGTGGATATTATCGTACTTTAATAGTTGAATTCATGAGTCAGCCGAAACGGCCGTCCAGTGCTCCTAGCTTTTTCATGGTGATCTAGCTTCAATTGACTGATGAATTCAACTATTAAATTACTATAATATCCAAAAAATCCCTCACTGATTATAACTAGTGATTTGAAATATAAAAAAACTATTATTTTAACAATGATTTCTTTTTGATGTTCA